TCATTGATTTTATTTTTTAAAATATTTTGTTTGTTTTTAGAGGGATTGGTTGCCTCCTGCACGCCCCAACCTGGGGACCTGGTCTGCAACCCAGCCAGGTGCCTTGACTGGGAATCGAATCAATGACCTTGGGGTTTGCCAGATGATGCCCAACCCAATGAGCCACACCAGTCAGAGCTATGTTTATTGATTTTAGGGGGCAGGGAGGAAGGGAGAGAGAGACATCAGTATGAGAGAAACATTGATCATTTGCCTCTCATACATGCTCCAACAGGGGACTGAACGGGCAACCAACCCTTTGGTGTACAGGACAACGCTCCAACCAAGTGAGCCGCCCATCCAGGGCTGTATTTCTTCTTAATTGAGCTTTGGTAGTTTAGGTCTTTAAGAAACATCTATTTCATCTAAGTTGTAACATTTACTGCCAACGAATTGTTCATGATATTCTCATACTATCCTTTAATATTTGTAGGGTCTGTATTTGTATCACGTTTCATTCCTGATGTGGACAATTTGTGCCTTGTCTTTTTTTTCTCTAATCAATCTAACTACAGTTTCATCTGTTTTATTGCTTTCTCAGAGAACCTGGTTTCATTCATTTTTTTTTGTTTTCTATTTCATTGATTTCTGCTCTAATCTTTATTCTTTTCTGTCTCCTTTCTTTTAGTTCTTAAGGTAGAAATACAGGTCATTGATTTGAAACTTTTTCTAACAATAATTTTTAAAATGTTATTAGTTGAGAGAGAGAGAAACATTGATTTGTCTTCCTTATTTAGGCATTCATTGGTTGATTCTTGTGTGTACCCCAACTGGAGATCAAACCCGCAACCTTGGCATGTTGGGACAACACTCTAATGAACTGAGTTACCTGGGTAGTGGGGCTCGAGACTTTTTTCTAACATAGGTGTTTAGTGCTGTATCTCTTTAAGAGCTGTTTTATATTCATTCCACAAATTTTGACATGCTTTGTTTACACTCAAAAATATTTTCTGCTTTCACCTTTGATTCATTTTTGGACCTATGTGTATTAATAATTTCCAAATATTGGAGATTTTTCAGATACATTTTCATTGATTTCTAATTTAATTCCACTGTGGCCAGAAAACATATTGTGTATTATTTGAATCTCTGGAGACTTGTTTTATGGACACAAATATAATTATTCTTGGTATATGTTCTTTGTGTACTTGGAAAGAATTGTATTCTGCCATTGTTGGATATTCTATAAATATCGATGAGGTCAAACTGGTTGTGTTTTTCAAGTCCCCTGTGTCTGCTGATTTCCTCTTTATCAATTGCTGAGAAAGGGGTGCCGAAATATCCTACTACAATTAAGGATTTGTCTGTTTCTCATTTATTCCATCAATTTTTGTTCCATGTATTTTGAAGCTCGGCTATTTTTAAATAGGATGTGAGAAACAGGGGAAGTTTGGGGGTATTTAAGAACCCAAGTTACGGATATCGTGGACCTCGGGATTACATCATACTGGAGTACAGGGAGCATTTGGCCGGTGTGCACGCTCTGACTAGTGATTTATTCTCAGGTGCTGCAGCCCGGAGACTGACTGCTCCATCTGGGTGTCCAACCTGTGGCCCTTGGGCCACATGCAGCCCAGGATGGCTGTGAACTCAGCCCAACACAAAATTGCAAATTTACTTAAAACTATGAGATGTTTTTGATTATGTGTCACAATGTATTTAATGTGTGGCCCAAGACAACTCTTCTTCTTGCAGAGTGGAGCGGAGATGCCAAAAGGTTGGACACCCCTGATAAGTTATGGAATCTATTTTAATTATAGTACAGTCATGATAAAGGATCAAAAGAATTATCAAATATATTAGGTTGAATCATATGGAGCTGTTGATATTAGCCTTTGTTCGACCGACAGAAATGGTAATTTCTCACAAAGCAAGGATGTCTGTTCTTTACAGTATTGTCTGGAGTAGTGAGACCCTGGGAGCTAACCAGGTCTTTTTTATCACAGCATTGTTCAGAACAGTGACAAAATCTAAATGTCAAACAATCACACTTGACATGTTGTGAAATTTAAATTGTTTTGGGAGATTATTCAGTAACTCATTCCCTTTGTGTCCTCATCCAGTTATAGGACAATCAATTCCATCTGTAAATGCTTGCAACTTCCCAATTTATATCTAAAGTCCAATTGCTCACAAAATCCAGATACATTCAGTTGTGTTCGCACCATTTCCATCCGGATATCCAATCAACATATGAAATTTAACACACCCAAACGGAACCACTGATCTATCTCCAAAGCCTGTTCTCCCATCATCACTCACCTCAGTTCACGGAAGTTCTAGTTTCAGTCTTCCAGTCGTTGGGGTCCAGATCCTTGGAGTCACTCTTGATTCTTCTTTCCCTCATCTCTCATAGTCACTCCAGCAGGAAATTCTCTGGCTTTTGCTTCAACATATACCAGAACCCAAGTCATCAACCCCTTCACTGCTAGCACTGTGGTCGTCTCCCAGATGGCAAAAGCCTCCTAACCTTTAGCAACTGCACTTAATCAATATTTTAAATTAAAGCCAGTATTTTAAAAGGCAGTGATGAAAATGGTATACGTCTGGACTGAGTTCAAATGAACATGACAATGTCTGCCCTCAGCCACCGCCTCATGAAGTTCAGACAAATTTGCTCCACCTTATCTCTTCCTCCTGCACTTCCCTACTCCTCTCCTCCGTTTCCTCCTTAACGGAACATAAGGAACTAAACTGTTGGGCGGTTATCAATTTACGGCCTCTCAGCTCCAGATCTACCCTTGATCGCCTGCTCTGCAACATGGAGCTAGACCCTCTCGTAAATGTTTCTCCTTTGCCAGCTGGCACAACTGTCAGTCGGGTGCAGTTAAGAGACATGGGAGGAGGGTTTCTTTTCCTGGTTCAGCTTTGCTCCCCTCTGCAGGGTCCTGCAAAGTGCAGTGCCTCATTCCTGCGCTGCTCGGCAGCTAACCTCACGCTGCACCCTGCTGCTCTCCTGGTATACAGCACCTCTCCATGGACTTCTTCCCCAGCACCCCCTCCAGTGGCTTTCCAGCAAGTTCTGGGGTACGGCACCTCCCCAAGATGCCTCTCTAGGACCTGAGGGCAGAGCCCAAACACAGGCCAGGAGTGCAGCATCTCCGTAACTTCCTTGCCATCCAGTGGGCAATTGTAACCACTTGAATAAAGCCTGGCTCTCAGCCTCAGGAGGAGCGAACTCTGGTTTGTCGTGCCTCAGCCCTAGGGTCAGTGGCTGCTTCCCAAATATGCTATTCTTGTACTCTTCCAGTGTTCTTTTTATCACTTATCGGCAAATCCTCCATTATTACAATTTTTTTATAGTTTGTGATGGTTAATTAAAAAAGATTTTATTTATTTTTAGAGAAGAGGGTAAGGGAGAAAGAGAGGGAGAAATACATTGATGTGCAAGAGCTATATCCATCAGTTGCCTCTCGCATGTCCCCAGCTGGGGACCTGGCCTGCAACCAAGGCATGTGCCCTGACTGGGAGTCAAGTCAGCAACCTTTCGGTTCACAGACCAGCGCTCAAAAGCACTCAACCACACCAGCCAGGGATGTAATGGTTAATTTTATGTGTCCACTTGGTGGACCACGGTGTCCAGATATTTGGTAAAACATTATTCTGGATGTTGTTGTAAAGATATTTCTTTTTCTTTTTAAATGAAATTAACATTTATGCCAGTGAACATAAAGCAGATTACCCTCCATAATGTGGGGGGCCTCATCCAATCAGTTGAAGGTCTTAATAAAGCAAAGACTGAATTTCTCTGAGCAAGAAATTCTGCTAGCAGATTGCCTTTGGACTTGAACTGCATCTCTTCCCTGGGTCTCCAACCTGCCCACCATGTGGATTTTGGATCACTAAGCTTCCACAATCACTTGAGCCAATTACTTAAAATGAATTTCTCTATATTTGTATACATATGCTATTGGTTCTGTTTCTCTGAAAAGTTCATTAGAGTACTCCTGTTCAAAATGCTTTGGTTTCTGTCTCGATTGGACCCTAACCAATGCACCACTGTTCTTGCCTGAACTACCAATTTATGCGTGCAACTCGCTACTCAGCCTCTCTACTTGGATGTGTAACAGTCATTCCAAGCTTACGTCTAAAAGCTCTTCATAGTCCTCCTCCAAACTTATTTCTCCTATATTTTTTCCAATCTCAGCTAAAGGCAACTTCATTTTTATTTTATTAATTTTAGGTGGGAGGAGAGGGAGAAACATCAACCCACTGCTCCGCTCACCCATGCATGCATTGGTTGCTTCTTGTATGTGGCCCGACCAGGGTAGAACCTGCAGCCTTGGTGTAACGGGACGATGCTCCAACCACCTGAACTACCTGGTCAGGGCAAGACAACTTCATTTTTAGTGAGACTTCCCCTATCTAACACACTTATAACTGCAGTCCAGCTCCAAGCAGCCCCAAGCATACCTTCAATTCCTCTTCTTTGCTTGTTATATTATGACATTACTATATGTACTACTTATTTACCATGTTTATTGTGTAACTCCTCCATTAGAATATAAACTCCATGACAGCAGGCATTTGATGTAGTTGTATGTTTAAACTGATGTATGCCCATAATCTAAAGCAATGCTTAACACATAGTGATAATCAATGAATCTTTGCCTTCTATTTTCACCACAGACTATAATGCTAGTTATTCTTTGAGTGTCTCGTTTAAAAAAATCCTTCACTTTCCCAAGTTTATAAATATTCTATATTTTCTCACAAAATTTTTGTTTTTGCCTTTTAGGTGGAGGTTAAGCCACTAAGAACTGGGTTTTGGTATGATGTGAGTTGGAGACCCACGTCTGTACCCATACCTACTTCTCAGCCCTTCTGCATAACCAACCAGCTGCCCAGCAGGCTGTGCTTTGACTGCTTAATGGTCTTGGTGTTCTCCCTGTACTCTCTGACTTCACTTGCTCTGTCAAACAGTCAGTACTATGATTCTACAATAATGAAGCAAAACAAAGTATCAACCCCACAGTTTTATTGTAAAGAACAAAGCATGAAAAGTCATATTTAAATGTACTCTAAAACCTGAAAACCCCACGTCAGTTTCTCTCGTATGTATGCTAAAGTGCTTGATATCACAATACTCTTTAAGTTTCATATTATGTTCAGATGAGGAACAAAAATCCAGTTCTGATGCATTTTGTTAATAATACACAGAAAAACAATATAATTTAAATGCAGAAATGCTCATTTGTTAAAAAGATACACAGGGTACATTTATACATGGTTCAAGTATAACATAGAGGATTTTTTCTGTATGTCTAACACCTTCGGTTGATCGACAGCAGGCACTCCTTGCCACACCTCTGCGTCAAGAAGACTCGGTGTCTGGAGTAAAGCACGGAGCCACACAGAACACATTCAGGTGACTGAACCAAGCACGATCCCGTCCCACGTAACCCAAGGATACCCTGGATTCCTGCAAATGAGGCGGATTACTTTTTCAAAGAAAGAGAGAGGTTTTGTTATTTTTCACTCTGGTGTTCATTGCTCAGTGTCACACCTTTCTGGAGTCGATCTTTACTTTGTCCTTGGAGGACGGTGAATCAGTTCTAGAAAGATGTGAAAGGATGAGGTTCTCCTTGAGTTGTTTTGAGCACACTCCACTGACACTCTCTTCAAAAAGCTTGGAAATAGGTTTGCACGAAGAGATTTAGAAATGTATTTTAATAGGAATAAGGGGCCTCATAGTTTATTGTTTGTTTCTGTCTCCTATTAAGCTAAATGGTAATGTGATGAATACTTAACATAAGAAACAGGAACTTCAAAAGACAAAGATGACCCCGAAACAGGATTCACTTTAATGAAGTAAAGAGGAGCGGAAGACTACATTCTCAAACCGTGAAGGTGTCTTAATACTGAAACATAAATAGCGAAGGTTCAGATTGTCCTTTCAGCACGGTGAAAAGGATGGACTCGTTTCTGTAAACCTCACAGAGAAAACACTCACAGTTCTCAAAATAAAAATCTTCTGAAAAATCACAATTCTTAGCAGAGAGATGTTCATTATTAAGAGTTACACTCCCACTGCTATCAAATAACTATTTCCCTGGGGATCTGAGGTCCTCATCTGTTGCCTCAAGTTTTGAAACATCTAGAGGTGTCAACATATACTACACATAAACTGTTATGTGTCGCCTCTACCCCTTTCACTTACATTTACATACAATGGTGATTTATTGCCAAAAAAGGAAATATAAAGAATTCAGTATTTCCCCCATATCATTCATAGAGTGGGACAGAAGTTCATGAAAATAATTTTTTTAAAAAGCCATGTTAAAGTAAATACCACAGGGTTACAAAAGGTACAAAAATGTGTGAAACACTTAAAATGAATTTTAGAGGGAAATCGTAAACTTTTGCAGGTTTTAGGTTCCTTACACCAAATTCTTGCCCCCAGTGGGAAAGAGGATGGGGAGGGTGGGGAGGCCATACTTTTTTCCCCCGGTAGCCTGTTTTCCACCACCTGGAGCCCCACTTTTCTATAAGACCAGTACGACCAACCGGACCCTGTGCCCGTCAATGTCAAGGTGCTAATGAGCCCCGACAGGGCGCAGCTGTGGGGTCTCACGTGCAACACCAACATCAACACGGGGGTGAAGCTGCTGTGCCACAAAGGGTCAGACTAGGAGCTTCAGGCCACTTGAAAAACACCTAAAAAAGGTTTCAAGAAGTACTATTTTTGGCAATATAATTTTAAAAACAATTTCTTTTTAAGCCATTATTATGCAAAAATACTAATTATAGTTCCAGGCATTACTTCTAATTTATTTTGAGGGAAAAAATGTCAATTACAAAACTGATTTTTATTTAACTTTGAGGTGTGATTATAAAGCCCTGTACTAACTTTAAAAATAAATATAACAGAAAGGATACCTCTTAAATGGATGTGGCCCTTCCCAGGGTCAGCGTGCGTGGAAGGCTGTGCACATTTTTCTGAGGATTCTGCTGTTGCCCTGCTCAGAATCACTGGGTGTTGGCTCAGAGACAGGGAGGAACCATGTAAGAACTAAATCTCATTTCTTTAGAATTGTGTTTCTTGTGTGACTCAAACTCTGCTTGAGTGTCTTTTTTATTCATCGGCTTGGATCCCAGGGGCTGCAGGCCTTTCAAGCAGCTCACGAAGAGGTCCTCCCATGCTAAGCACGAGGGCTGTTATCACCGCACTGAGATAAACGGGTTCCCAAGGCGACCCGTTTCAAAGGATCTGGCGTGGTAGAGGGTGTGTCTCTTTCTCTTGAAATCGGTCATGTCACGGTTACAGTGTAGTTTTACTACACAAAGTGGGATAAAACTTTAGGGATAGTAACTCTCTGTAAGGTCATGCTTTTATTCACAGACCCCCACATTGAATTTTCTCCCAGTTTTTACTACTTGTGAACAATTTGTTAAAGTAAATATTAATCCTCGTAAGTGATTATTAGACACGAATATTAACCCTTATCTCCTGTCTGTATAGGTGAATGTCTGAAGAGCCCAGGGCAGAAAGGCTACTCGGATGAGTGCTCTGCAGGTCAGTCTCGTGCAGCCTCGTGTAACAAAGGAACGGGATTCTAGACTCTGTGTTGTCCCTGACCGGCTGTGGGAGTACTGAATCTCTTCATCCGTTAAGTGTTCCCACCTATAAAATGAGAAGGCTGGACTAGACGGCTCAATCTATCTAAGCGGTCCCCCTGGTTGCCCGGAGTGTGTCAGAAGCATGGCCTCATGGAAAGGGCAGTAAGAACAAATCCCTGGATTGGATCCTTCTCTGGTTCCTGATCACTGAAATGCAGTAAGGGCCTGGTGTAAAACAGGCTCTCAAGGCCTCCCATTGTAAGAATTTCTGTGTCCCTGAACAGCCACACCACCACAGACATGCTTTAGCCTCAAGCAAACCAACCTCTGGTCTCCCAAGTCACCCGAAACCACCATCTTAAACCCTTTCCAGGGTTTGTAAATTCTTCAACCCCTTCCCCCCTCAAGAACGAAGTCACACACTAGAAGGAGGTGTGCCTTGGCTGCCCTGGCTGAAGAGTGAGATAAAGAGAGTGAGGTCCTTGTTTCATGAGTTTCTTCCTGCAGGAAGTCAAGGAAACATGGCTGCTGACTACAGCCCAGGGTCCTCAGGTGGCACAAGGGTCCTGACAGGCCATGGCTTTGCATCTCGGCCACAACTGGGAACAAAACCCAAAGCTCTGCTCAGGGAATTTCACTGCTAGGGATGTGCAAAAGCCTAATTACAGGACCTCCTGTATGATGAAGACATAAGGTAACTAGCTAACACCACATTTATTTAACTTTCTCATATAACACCAGACTGCAAAGTTCCCCCTAACATTTGGTCTTTGAAAACTGTGCGTCTTGTTTCGCTTGCCTTTCGCCGTCTGTGCCTGCCGTCCTGGCTCTCCCCTCCCGTGGGCCGCTCGTCTGACATCACCACCCCTTCTCAGAAAGGAACGTAGTGCTTGCCCCAAACACCCAGAAAGGGCTGTTCTTTCTCTCCCCTTCTGTTATTTGCATTATCTTGGTCAACAAATACTTTCACAAAAACATTCCAAGCCACACAGAGCCCTCCTCCTTCTCTGAAATTCCTTCCATTTCCTGAGAGGGGGATGGGCGCTGGAGAGGGGAGGGGGTGTTGGGAACCAAACAAAGGCAGGGTTTATGGTTACCCTTCAGAGGTAAGGGGCCACTGCAGGGTTTAGATGGCCAAATAAAAAGTAGAGGATCACACTGCTGTTTGCAGTTGTTATGACTATGAGGCCAACGCTTTGAAATTCACATCTGCCCAAAGTACCTCAAATTCCAAGAATAAAAATGCCAAGAATGAAGTTAGTCTAGGCTAATCTTTCCGAACTGTAAAGAAGTTATAATCCCACAATTTAACACACTTCTCAGGGCTTTGTGTGTTCTCTTTCCAGTTAAGCCAAGCTCCCGGGGTTCAGTATTTAAAGTATTTGAATTATATCTTCATCTTGTGCCGATAAAATTTTTTTCCCCCAAAAGACTGGAAAAGTGACTCAACTCATATGAATGAAACTATTTGCAACTTAAAAGGTACAAGTGAGGACCGCCCCGTACAGTAGGTAGGGCTGTTTACATTCACGATGCAAAGGGCCGCCACCAGGGTGGATGGCTGCGGCACAGCAGTGCATCCTGGGTTCCTTTGTGATACCTGGAGGGAGAAAAGCCCGGCTGGGCTGCCCTCTATTTACACATTTACTGGCTTCTTCCTGACTAGCACCACTCTTCCCCTCAACTCCCAACGCTTTTAAGCTACTTATTTTAAATCACAGGAATATTCAATCTAAGAAAAGTATCTTATTAGAGTAATATAATTTCTTAAAGAAGATAGCATATTTACACACATCTAACACATGAAAATACTCTATTTGATACTAAATTCCTGGTTCAAACGAACTACTATACAGCATTTTGCCTTGTCTGTGGCGTGAGGACTGCTCATGTGTGTGTGTGTGGGGGGGGGCAGGGTGTGCCGCCCCCGTGCAGTGGCCCACTACCTGTCAGACAAGTCCGAATGGGTCCCAGACAGAGAGGTCAGGAGCAGGGGTCTGGACTGAGTGTCTAGCCAGCTGGCCTACACGTCCACTCCTTTGATGAGGGATCCTTCTAAGACTATGGTGAAGTCCTGAATGGTCTGCAGAATGCGGATGAGGGAGTTGACGGTCATGCGGTCCCGCAGGAGGGCACTCTCTTCGTACATTCGGGTGATGGCAGGACACTCGGCTAACAGCGGAATCCACTGCGGGAGCAGGCGGTCCCTGCGGGCCCAAACAGAAACAAGTCCTGAGCGCGGCTGGCGGCTGGCCCTGCTGCGGAACACGGCACATACACTGGAGTTTCCACGGGGAGGTGCTGGCTTCCTCAGCAGAGAGGAAACCCGAGTCAGGAAACTGGGTATTCACCGGTCAGAAAGGTGCAGTAGCAAGACAGCGTGAGCCAGTGGGAATACCCATCACATTCTAAAAGCAGGCCTGGGCAAACTGGCCACGAGGATTCCTGCACACCAAGGAAATTCTCTGTTCTCGTTTTACCACTTTTAAAAAGAGGCAGAGTGAAATTTTGTACTTCCTTTCTTCTGGGGTGTTACCTGGACGTCTGTGGCAGGCATGCAAACTACACTGACCTTCTGGGAAGAAATACTACATTAAATAGTAGGGATTAGCTTCTTCTTTTTTTTAAATAACTTACAAAAATAACAAGGTAAAGAACAAAATCAAAGCAGAACATTAAGCAGATTTTGTAGACCAAAAGAGGGGCTGCACTGGCCTAGGAAACCAGAACAGTGGAGACATGAAAGACGATGGGGATGGGGCTCTGAAGGGACTCTGAGAGCACAGCTGAACCTGGGCCCCTTTCGTCAAGAAGAAACTCAGAACTCAGTTCTATACACCAGCTGTTTCAGGAGGAGGACAAAATCTCAGTCTTCCGTGTTTCTTGATTAAACCCTGACATTAACTGTCACTAAGTACCTAAGATGTCCTTACTGAGCAACTTTCAACATGCCTTCCAGAACAAAGACAACCGTAAGAGGACCATCCTGCACCTCTCCTCGGGGCTCTACGGTTTAGAAGAAAACAAACTGCACACACACACACACAACATCTAAAGGTTTGTGTGCTTCATTTCTTACAATTCTAAGAGCCATTTTAAGTTTATATAGCTCATATTTGTCATTTTCAAGAAATAAAGGGGTAGGAAATTGTCTTCAAGAGAAAACGATACGGTAAGAATTCTGCAATGTTATTAAATTCACTATGGTGGTGTATATACACCACACAAGCTCTACACAGTAAACACACATGTGTGTACAACTATCCACCAACCTACCCGCCACCTATCATTGGAACCAGGAGACTGCACTGGTTGAGAGCCTGGGCTCTGGAGTGAGGCTCGGGGCAAATCTTGGTTTCACCTCTTTCTAGCTGTGTGGCCTCGGGGAAATTTGTTAACTTACATGTGCTTCATCCGTTTTCTATTTTCTCCTCTATACTGGTTGCTACTTCAACTAGTGGTGATGGTGAACAGTAAGAGGTTCAATGAAATAATGTATATGAAGTACTTAGCACAGTCTTTACCCAATACATAGCAAGTACCCAATAAACAGCAGTCTGGTAATGAAACTTGGAATGAAAGAAACCCTGGGGAGAGCTTTGTGAAGGGCATGGTCTGGTTTAATGCTTTCTGGACTCTTGTTCAACATGTAAACAAAGACAGTGAAAGTCAAGAACTGGTTTTATACCGTGTTCCAAGGCAAACTAAAATCTGGAATTTGCCATCCTTCCCAATGTTCCTGGGTGCAGTATTAATAGCGTTCACATAGTGGCAGAAGGTTTTGCAGGACGATTTCTGAATAAGGACATCATCTTCGCTGTCTAGGATCTGGTCAGTGGTTTCAAAATAAGCAACCGCTTTCTCTGGGGAAGGAAGTCAGAATCACATCACAATATACATCAACACTTCATAATAGAAAGATTAATCACTAGGTTTATTCTTGAGACACTAATGATGTTTTCTTTGTATCACAGCCAGTGCTGAAACCAAAATCATTACTTTATCATTGGTTTCACAATGAATTCCAGAGGTCCCTAGTTCACTGTGGAGTAATATGCTCCCGGGAGTTTAGTTTCTAATCTAGACTGAATTTTAGAAGGCTGGAAAAAGTTTATTTCTCTTTAGAATAGCTTTAAGAAATGAAAATTGGCAGAAAAGAAGGAAAATAAAAATAGACTCCTCTGTTAAGGCTGGACCCTCGTAGGAGTAAAGCAGCGACACCGTGGTGGCCACAGAGACGATGCCCCTGTCCCAGCTACCGAATGGCAGGCTAACACTGCAGCAACATCTCTGAAGTGAAACTGAATCAGTACACCTGAGAAAGAGGGGTGCACACATATCAGAAGCAGGAGCGATATCCTACGCATTCCCGAAGGAAAAAAAATATCATTTCCAGGGTCCTAATCTGTCCATTTTCCTTCTTTCATACAAAAACTCTAAATTAGATGAAATCAACTACTTCATCTAGGCCTTATTTACAAAACACAGTGATTAATCACCCCTTTAAAGAAACTGGAAATTCTAGAAGAACTGCATACCAAAGTAAAGAGACAGTTTAGCAAGCTTGAGCAGCACACTCCTGTGGAACTTTCTGTGATGATGGAAATGTCTCCATCTGTAAGGTCCAACTGGTAGCTACAGTAGGGCTGGGTGACGAAGGGAGTGAACTTTACATTTAAATGAAATCGGTGTAAGTTTAAACAGCCACATGTGGCCAGTGGTTACCGCATCGGACAGCACAGAGCTAGAGTCGTGCTTCCAAAACATGTTACACGCGAACCGTCCTAAAACAGCTTCCTATCTCATTCAGGGTAATGATCCAGGCCCTCCCAGTGGAGGACTAGAGGGCCCCACCTAACCCGTTGGGCAGTAAACACCCCTCTCCCCGAATATCCTATCTCTCGCCCTCACTCTGCTCAGTCCCCTGATGCCCCTGCTCCTCCATGAAGAGGCCAGGTGCACTCCTACCTGGGGCACTGCCCTGGCCCTCCCCACAGCCTGTGTGCTGTCCTCCCACACGTTCCCATGGCTCACTTTTCACTTCCTCACCGTCTTTGTTCAGTGTCGCCTTGTCAACCTTAAGCCTCTAACCACCCCAGTAAAAAGAGCTCTTGCCACTCCATTTCCTCTCACCATGTTCTATTTTTTCAAGATATCAGCGATCACCTTCCACCATACTAGATGAACTGCATGTTTGTTATGTTTTTGTGTATTATTTGTCCCCCCTGATCGACCATAGGAATTTTTGTGTTTTACCTTTTTTTAAAAAAGATTTAATTTATTTTTAGAGGGAGGGGAAGGGAGGGAGAAAGGGAGACAAACACTGACACTCGAGAGGTACATCAATCAGTTGTCTCTTGTTTGCCCCATCTGGGGACCTGGCCCACAACCCAGGCATGTGCCCTGACTGGGGATCAAACCGGTGACCTTTCTGTTCGCAGGCTGGCACTCAATCCACTCAGCCTCACCAGGCAGGGCTTGTTTTGTTACATCTTGATAAGTATCTTGAGCATCTAGACTAGTGTCTGGAATATGGTGGACACTATAAAATTTCTTAACTAAATGAAAAGCAAGGATGGTACTTATTTGACATTTATTTAAAACAAAACAAAACAAACAAAAAAAAAAACCAACACAGTCCCTTATCACTAACCCTTGTTTGCTCAATTCCTGGATTTTTGAGTTTTTAAGAAGCATCTCCATGACCTTATAACAACATCCATCTGCTGAAACTTACCTATGAAGTCCCAGATGAAGACGTTCTTGTGGAAGATGCGGGCAGATTTGAACCCGTGGTGGAAAACTTGTTCGAGTGCTGCCACCAGGCCGTTCTCCCCACACAGCAGCACCGTGAGGCTTCCTCTCTGTGGGACACAACACACGGGCCAAGAGTCATCTGCCGTGCCCGCGTTTCAGAAACCCGCTAGAAAACCAAGTGCTGAGGGCAGCTGTCAAGCACGTTTCTGCAGCTATTAGCTTACAAATGAGAACTAAAACACCCTGTATTGCCTTGTGTATCATGATTAAAGGTGGTTTCAAAACCCTGCTGTGCTAAGTTTTACAGCGCATCGTACCTCTTTTTCAGGTTTGTGAAAATGTTTCACAATATTGTTCACGGCTTCTCCGATCCCTTCTTGGATCTGTCCAGCATTGGGTTCTGAAAAATAGTAAACACTGGTTGAATTCTCATGCCAGGGAGATAAACCAAAGAACGATGGGTTATCAACTGTGTCCACCTACGCAGGCAACACCCCACCAGTGCAGGCTGGCCTTGCCAGGGGCTCCAAAAACTTGCCTTGGGTCAGTTTGGCCAAGCAAGAAGCATCTTGGCACAATGAAAAAGAATCCAAGAGACCCCCAGATTTAAACCCCAGCCTTACCCCAGTAATCTATAGCCCTGGTCAAATGTCTCACTCCAAGTTTGACTTTCCTCAATCTAAACAGGGAAAACACACCCCTCATGCATGGGTCACTGGGAAAACTGAATGAGATATTAGGTGTAAATCTCCTGGCATGGTGCCTGTCAAAAGTGCTAGGGTAAGCTTTCTCAAAACAGCACTACCACACGAAACTGGACTGATTCAGAAGTTGTATAATTGGATAGGATGAGGTGGAACCTATTTTTAAGTTTTAAATCAGCACACTTAAGGTATTGCATAAAACAAATTCAACAACTTTAAGTGTGCGATTTGGTGAGCTTGGATAGTGATGCAGCCATGTAACTACCACCACCATAATCCTAACACGGAAAACTCCCACCACCCCAAAAAGCTCCCTGTGCCCCGAGTCAGCCAGTCCTGTTCCCCAGTTCTCCACCCTGGCAGCTGCGGATCTGCCTTCTAGCACTATTACATTGCCTTTTTTAGAACTTAATATAGAAGGAATCCTATACCTATAGTACCTAGTCTTCTGCATCTGGTTTCTCTCACTCAGCAGCATGTTTTGTGATTCACCCATGCTCTTAGATGCGCCAATAGTTTGTGCACTTTTACCCACAGCTGGGAAGTATCCCCTTGAACAGGCATACCACAATTTGTTTATCCATTCACCTAGCTGTGGACAGTGGGGCTGTTTTCATTCTTATTTTTTTTAAACATCAGTGTGTGGTTGCCTTTGGCGCGCCCCCCTACTAGGGACCTGGCCTGCAACCCAGGCATGTGCCCTGACTGGGAATCAAACTGGTGAACCTTTGTTTTGCAGGCAGCACTCAATCCACTGAGCCACACCAGCCAGGGTGGGCTGTTTCCATTCTGACTATGTGAATAAAGCTGCTACGAACATCTGAGTGTAGTACAGATGTCTCAGTGTAGATATCTGTATTCGTTCCTCTTGGGTAAATATCTAAGAATAGGACCGTTGGGTCAAGTATATGGTAAATGCATGTATACCTTTGTAAGAAACTGCCAAACCATATTCTCTTCTACGTTCCCACTGGCCGTGTGTGAGCACTCCCCTGCCCTCCATCCTCAGCCACAACCACTTTCCCAGTCTCTCACATCTCATCTGTTCTGGTAGGTGCATGCTGTACGTTTTACTTCTGACTTCAGAAAGGATTTACGAATCAGGGGAATAATTTAAGAAAGAATAGGGGGATTTTTAGATAATATAATTTTACTACTAAATATATTGCCATGTGTTAACAAATGGACTGGGACTAAAACTAAGGAAATTGCTTTGTTAATAAACTAAAAACCTCTTAGGTGATTTTGTTATTTTACTTACAGTTATTGTCCATAGCTGAAACAAAACCACTTCACTGATAAACTTTTGTAAGTTTCTACTAAATCACACTGCCTCTGCATTAGTTTTCTGTGGCTCCTGTGACAGAATGCCACAACCTTGGTGGCTTAAAACACTGGAAATTTATTCTGTCATAGTTCTGCAGGACAGAAGTCGGCATGAGCATGGCCATGCTCCCGCCAGGGGCTCAATGGAGGAACATGCTCCTTGCCTCTCCAAACTTCGGGTGGCTGCCGGCGTGCTGTGGCTGCGTCACTCCAATTTCTGCTTCTGTCTGTACGCCTGTCTCCTCTGTGTCTGATTTCCCGCTGCCTCCCTCTTATAAGAATACGTGTGATGGCACTTAGGGCCCACCTGGATAATCCAGGATAATCTCTGTATCTCAAAACCCTTAACTTAATCACACCTTTTCCCAAATAAAGTAATATTTACAGATTCTAGGGATTAGGGTCTGATATCCTGGGGAGACATTATTCAGCCTACTAAAGCCCAACTTAGAATTAGGAGTTTACTGTATTAGTAAAAATGGCACGTGAACACAGTATCCTGCCCATAGAACTCCTTTATATATAGTATATCTTGTGTCATCACTTCTATATGAAGCTGCAGGGGGAGAGGAATTTTTAGAATCTCTCTTAGAATAAGGGGCTCTAGATAGCTAAATGTGGCTATCTGAGAGCACTGTAGTACAAAACTGTCCTTATTCCTCTTTTAGGTTTCAGGCAAAATATTTATTCATAATTGAAACAAAGCTTGCATTTGTATTGAATTTTAACATCTAAATTCTTTAGGCTTTTAATTATTTGTAATGTCTTGCCTTATTTTTTTCTCCTTCTCCCTCCCTTTCTAAAGTCCCTTCTCCCAAATTAATTTTGTTCAGCTTTCTTCTTTTTTATTTTTTAAAAAGATTTATTTATTTATTTTTAGAGAGGGAAGGGAGGGAGAAAGAGAGAAACATCAATGTGCGGTTGCTAGGGGCCGTGGCCTGCAACCCAGGCATGTACGTACCTTGGCTGGGAATTGAACCTGTGATCTTCTTTTTTATTTTTTTTAATTATTTATTTTTAGACAGAAGGGAAGGGGAAAAAAAAGAGGGAGAGAAACATCAATGTGTGGTTGCCTCTTGCATACCCCCCACTGGGAACCTGGCCTGCAACCCAGGCATGTGCTGTGACTGGGAATTGAACTGGTGACCCTTTGGTTCATAGGCCGGCACTCAATCCACTGAGCCACCTCAGCCAGGGCAGCTTTCTTCTTTTTAACCTCCCCATTATAATTCATAAATGTGACAGTTTTCTGTGAAATGACCATATGACACCTGCAACATTTGAGACGTGTTGAAAAATTAAAAACCCAACTACTTACTGGTGACTTTTCCTGTTAGTGAAGTGATGCTAAGTCTCCTGGCCGTGGTGGGGGACTTCTGCTGGGGGGGCGTCCGGCACTGCTTCACCAGATCCTCATCTGCTGCCGATGCCATCAGCTCTCCAATAAGGATTCTCTCCAGGCTTCCGTCGTCGATGCCCTTCCCCAGCCACCGCCCGCAGGGGAACCTAGCAGGACAAAAAACAAAAACAAACAAATAAACAAACACACTCTTCTGAATCACCACTGGTTTACTAGTTTTAATAAAAAATTTTAAAAATGGCACCAGGGGTAAAGTCCATTATTTTAGTGCCTGTGGGTTACTTCTTTTAATCATGAAAAATTTCAAGCACAGAAAAGTAGAAAGAATAGTATAACAAACACCTGTATTCTTATCACCTAGATGTAACATTTTGCTATATGCTTCATTTTTTTGTTGAAATACTTTAAAGTTACACACACTAGGACATTTTACTACAAATACTTCATTTTACTTAAAACACTTCAGTATAAATAATGAAGGTATTCTCTCTTATACATCCTTTACGTAGCTACATTAATTACAATAATTAAATTGTAGCTACAATAGCTACAATAATTAAATTAAATAATTTAATTATTTTTATCTCATACCTAACTTATATTAAAGTTTTGTGCTTTGTTCTAGAAAGAATACTCTCAAGAGGCTATAAACTAAGGTCAAACTTAAAAGTTGCAGAAGAGGAGAAGGTCCCCAGAGAGCAGTGTTAGCTCTAACCAGCACAGTTCGAAAGAACCCTTCCTCTTACTGAACTTGTTTTAAGCTTCTCTTTTTTCTTTCTTTTTTTATCCGAGTTACAACAATCTTTTTCAATATAATAAGAAACACCTGTGATCTAAGGATTAGCAGTAAACACAATTTGTTTTTGTAAAGTGTTTTGGGGGCAATTTTGTATCATACAAACCAAACCATTAAATAAAACCGCTCCCAAAACGAAACTAAGATACAGAAGGCAGTGGGAAGGCTTTAGAAGGAAAACAATTCTTAACCTTTTCTTGTTTGAAGAGTCTCAAAACAAGAATTCTGAACTCCTGAGGACATTTACTTACCTGTATGTATGTCCTGTGATTTCATTTCTGACCATGACGCAATCCACCAGCCACTTGGCTAACAGCCCCGAGTTATCGTGCCCGATCTGCACAGTGGTCAGCTTCCCCAAGTTCTGGCACTGCAGGGACAGGACCACAGGCTACTCAGCACCCGATCCCATCCCCCTGCCTCGAAGCTCCACCGAACCTACCTGCAGAGGATGCATGCTGCATGACGTGCGCCCTGCTATGCCCCGGAGAAGCGTATATGCATCTAGTGCATCCCATCTGATGGGCGAGGAGACAGGTGGACCTTAGCTACCTAACGAGGGGACCGCGCAGGTGCTAGACGAGCGATGTGAACAGGTGGTAGAAGAACACTGGGGAGGAACGACGATTTCTAACTGGGGAACCCAGAAACATCGCACAGACAGCGACTTGTGCCTTAAAGCATGAGAAGAATTCCAAGAAGCAGAAAAAGGATACTATTTAGATTCAGTTACAGAGAAATCAGAAAAACAACTGCAGATATTAAAAATCACTGACACAGCTGTTTTTCTGCTTCTAATAAAATACTCAGGTGAAACTGACCTCAAACTTCATCTACTAGAGGTCTTTGAAGCTGTTTTAAAAAAAGCATAGTTATCAACGTCTTTCCTGGCAAAAAAGTGATAATACGAATAGCAAAAATAAATGCCGATTAAATTCTGATAAAAGATCACAGACCCCAAGCACCTACGGAAGGCTGGGAAGGTCAGGGCCATGAGTGCTTAAGGCCCCTGACTTCTCCGTATTTCAGTGAGAGGGTGCCTCAGCGACTCAGGTGAGGGAGGAGGCACCTTAAACTAGTGGGGACCTCGGAGATGGAAAGAAGCAGGCGGATGTGACACAGAGTTTGGAAACAACAATGATGGGACTTATGAGGCAGTTTATGTTCCCTACTTGGAAGTCCAAAAAAGGCTAAGGGTTTTTATCTTTTATATACAGATGGCTGAGAGGTCACTGGACAGACAGGGCCCCAATGAGGTTCTGAGTGGAAAGTGCTGTTCCTAGACAGCACGGGGCACGCGAACGGGACATCTGGTTAGACCACTGCCTTCCTGGAGCAGGAGCAGGTACTGTCTTCCTCCAGCGGGCCAGGGTCAACCTGCACGCCAGCTCAAACACACGGGAATGCTTCACCAAGTGAGCTCAGAATTACAACACTGAAAGGCACTTTTACAAAATACTTCAGAAATGTCACCATGTGGTCTAAATGCTGTAAGCATGGATGTCAGCTCTCCTGTCCTGTCCTGTTGGACACTTTGCAGTAAGGAAGAGAACCACTGTGGGGGAAACATTTAGTGCTGAGGCACGGGAATCTTGGAACAGGACCTGGAAAAGGCCCACTGTGCACCATTAGAAGTAGAAAAACACAGCTTAAAACAATGAAAATAGTAACAAAAATACAAAATAAACTTGCGTGTTTATGACAAACTTTAGGAATATGATCACAAAAATGATCCGGCATGCCTGCATGTTTCTTTATATTATCTAACTTAAAGAAAAACGAAAACGTGCAACTGGAATCCTTGTGCAGAATTACACATGACACTTTCTGCTAAGAAGGGTATAAGCTGAACCTACCTCAAAAGTCATTTCAAGGAGGTTTTTTGGAATCTGCATTACTCCTGTGTCTCCTAGCTCTCCTGACACACAGATCCAGGGGTTCGATGTGATGATGGCATTGCTCAGCTTTTTGATGGGGATGATCACTGACCTATACGGAATCACTGGAAGAAAAATGCTGAACTTAGTAAAAAAATACAATAAAATTCTCTTGACAAAACAAATCAGTATTAAGAACTCTGCTTTCACAGATAATTCACTTTTTATGACCCATCAAGATGGACTTAGACAAAAAGATGAGATCACAACCTCTCCCCGTCTAGAAAATGAGGCCCCATTTGTAAGCCTAAGTCCCGACACTTGTGGTGGTTTCCCGGCATATACATCATCGGTGTGCATGGCATGCATGCCAGCACGGTGATGTCCATCACCACTGCAGCTGTAAACAATCCAGGCCTCAGCCCCAGAATACCTGAGGGCACGAACACTAACCGTGCTATATAGCATTTTTGTTGTTTCAACATTTTTATTAATTTTTTACAAGACTGAGTACAAATGAGCAACGTTCCTGGGTAGTTTCATGTGAAAAAGGAGTGGATGAACTACTCCTTGTGGCTGACTATCTTGGGCAATGCTCCAAAGCACTGTACTTCTGAACTTTCCCATCCCAATTTTATAGCTCTTGTAAAGCCAAGAATAACAACGGCGGGCGCTCCATTCTGGGCACAACTTGGAAAGCTGTTAAGGTGACTCACGGAGGGGCCCCGGGAAAAGAAGCAAGACTTGGGAAGAGAGCTGCGTGAAATGGGTTCTCCTGAGGCTCTTCAAAGGCACGCCACTAGATGTCACTGTGCTTCCACCGTCATTTACTCAAATGTGGAAACACGGTGCAGTTAGATACTACAACCCTCCATTTTCCTCCAAAAAGTGGGGATGGCTCCAACACAGGAGCACATTTTTATCCTTTGGGGTCATATATTTTCTTTTTCAAGAAGTAGAGTGGAATATTTTTTGTTGGTATTGTGATTTCTGCTGACCCGGCTACAAGAGGGCATATTAGGAGCTCTCCTCGGAAGCACTGCAGGCAGGATGGAAACATACACTGGACAAGGCGCCCAGACACCGCCCCACAACGGGGCTGTGGTCCGGTGCGTTCTCAGATGAGGAAAACGAACGGGAGAAATGGTTCATTTCCCTAATTTCATGCAGGCGCTGTCTTTACGTTGAGTGAATAACCTCCTTTTCGGCCTTTTTTGCTGAAGGAAAGAAAGGTATCAGAGTTAATGCTATACTCTCATGGTTTAGTAATCACAAGAATCAAATGGTTTTGAAACTGAAAGCAGAAGAGTTAGCGCAAGAGTATTTTAGGGGCCACGGGGCCCTGCAGTTTCTGACATGGACAGGGTTAGAAAAGCTGCAGAGGAGGCCTACTGGGGCCGGCAGTTCTGCGCCTGCAGAGGGCCCCTGCAGAGGCTCAACAGTGGTTTCTTCAAGTGTGAAAGTAATACTACTTAAACTCAGAGTATGTCTTTTATGAAGTACCTCCATTCCTCACACTGAGTTTCTTACACAAAGAGAAACTGCAGATATAAGGAGGACCTTTTATTTATTTATTTTATTCAATCTTTATTATACATTTTTTCCATTACCATTCAGACCCCTACATCCCACTCCCCCCAGCAATCACCACACTGCTGTCCACGAGTCTTTTCTCCTTTTCTCGCAATCCCTAGCCCGCAACCTCCCTCCCACTAGCTGTCATCTGCTCTCCCTCTATGTGTCTGTCTTTGTTTTGCTTGTTAGTTCAGTTTGTTCATTAGATTCCACACATGAGTGAGATCATATGGTATTCATCTTTCTCTGACTGGCTTATTTCACTTAGCATAATGTTCCCCAGGTCCATCCATACTGATAAGGAGAATCTTAGGAGTCCTATTTCTTCTCTTTGGAAACTGTATATGACATTTTAGCTTCTCATACCTGCAATAAACTAATAAGCTAACAGTAGCTTGATAGATATTATGGGTTGGCCCAATAACCATTTCTACTCCAGTTTTCCCTGTCTGTCTGTGCCGGAGACTGGAAAACACTGCCTATGCCAGAGACTGTGAAATGTTAGTGCTGTTCACGGCTATTTCTTGGAAATTATTATTTCTAGCACAGATTCTGACCTTTTTCCTTGGCATTCCTTCCCTCTCCCCAATGGAGGGTGGACTGAGACCTTGTGACCACGAGGGTTGTCTAGGAGGACAGGGACAAAGAGCCTGCGTCTGTGATGGCACTGCGGGCCGCCTACCTCAAGACTTCTTGTTGTGTAAGAAAAATAAAACTACTAATTTGCTTAAACCAATGTTTTGCAAGTTTCTGAAACTTGCAGCTGGACGCAACTCCAAACTGATACAAGTAAAAATTCTCAGTTAAACTAAGGAAGGGGACCTACTGCTAGTAAGAATTAGTAATGGGGAAGAGAATAAATCCTTTAATTTAATTAACCCATCTCCAAACAGCATTCCTCTCTCTGTGGACCTACACCGTCCATCAAGATCCCAATGTCTTTGTGAATCATCAGAGTTTAATGATGCTCAGTTAGACATTTACTTGTGTCATATACTGAATCTTTGAATTTACGTGCTTTGGATAAGATATAAGAGTATACTGTTCAGTAAAGCATTCCTTCTCATGTCCACCCCATCTCCCACCGCAGACTGAGTGCACCGGGAGGCAGACGCTGAGCCAGAAACTGGCATGCAGAATGTTGCTTCTGGGATTAACCTGACAGGAAGCCAGCAGGCCTGGCTGACCAGCAGTTGAGCCGTGAAGCTGTTGTAATGAAGTGCTCAGCAGATCCCCGGATGAGTTCTGCGCCAGCCTCTGATCAGTCCCAGAGGCCTCCCCAGGTGAGGCACTCCCCACAGGGCCGGGGCCCAGGGCTGTCTTTCAGCAGCCAGGGGCCCAATCTTCACTCTTTCAGGGACATGGGGTGGGAGAGGGGGCATCCCAGTGCCTAGCTCTCTGTACTATGGTGTGTCGCTTTTAAAAATATGAACTCTCATTCCATCGGTCACTGAGCAACTCTTCACTTAAGAGTCAACTCTCCAGACTTACTGATAGTGGTGAACACACTGGTGAAGCAGAAGTAGTCCACAGCATTGAGGGAAAGGAGATGGTAAAGAAACTGTTCTCTTTCTTCTTCACAACGTAGGAAAGCATAACGCTTATAAAGCTTCCTAGGAAAGAGCAAGACAAGCACAAAACAACAGTATAGTATGTTTTTCATTACGCCTTGCCTTCCATTAAAAATAAACGCCTCTACTTACACAAGCTGGGTAGAAACTCTAATCTGGAAAGAACAGACAATTCACAAAAATGAACATACGGACAGCTGACATTTTTAACCTGGTCCATAACGAAGGAAAAACACCCGTGGATCCATTCTGTTTATCACACTAGCAGAGATTTGGAAGCGACGCCCACTGCTGACAAGGGCGAGAGGCAATGAATGGCTAGCTATTCTGACGGAAAATTTCTGGAAAGCAATTTGCTGGTAATGCTTATTTTAAACCAGTCAAACCCTGACTCCCTGACTTTACAAGAACAGCCTTCTTGCGACCACAAGGTGGTCAGCACATACCGCGGGCTACCTAGTAGGGAGGGACAAAGAGCCCACGTCCACAATGGCACTGTGGACTGCCCATCTCGAGACCTCTCGTTACGTAAGACAAACTAAACTACAGTTTGTCAACTTATGCAATTGGCTTTGTAAGTGCACAGGTCACAGAAACAGAAATGCCTCAAGAGGCGATCCCTTACCTGGTGAGGGGCTGGTTGGAGAGCAACTGCTTGAGGTGCTGGGACAAGAGCTTCTTTTCTAGCGACAGTCTTATCCATGCCCGGGCTCGCCCAACGTCAGTCTTGATCTCGCTCATGTTTTGAATATGCCTAAGGAATAGCAGCAACAGAAAAGATGTAAATCCTAAGAATGACCTTGAACCGGAAAAGAACTCAGGGGTACAGCATTTTGTACAGGTAGGTTCTTTTATACTTAAGGAAGCAACAAGCCGCACACGATTTACGCGTGTTCAGGTTCCACCTGAATCACACGTTTAGTCCCACATCAGAATCACCGTTACAGCACAGGCAGGCAGGCAGGCGCCTCCTGTGGTAGAGCATTTTACACCCATTTGTTCTTGCAGGTTTTATTATGTTCCTGTTTCAGCCTCATAGATACCTGTAAACTGTCACCTGGTTATTCCTGACTCTCAGGAAAATAAAATAAACAGGCTGAATATTCAAGTTTTTATTAAAAATATCTGTTCTACAGTTTCATTAAGTATCTGCTACGACTTTAATCTGCTGAATTATTTGCAAGCAGCCCTAACAACACATGGAAAATATGAAGTCTTCCTTTCTGTGGCATCAGAAGATAAACTGTATTGCACTGGTAAATTCAACATTTTAAAAATCTGAAACACTTGGAAAATTATGTGGCTACAAATAAATACTGTATGGCCAAACCCCTAAGGAGTGTTAGATAGATGGAGAAATCAGTATTCTGTGCAGAGGTTAATGCTATCCCCTGAAGGACTGACTTCATCTTCCTTGTCCATCATCCCCCTAAAGGGGAAGAAGGACTGGCAGGAGGCAAGCCTAAGGGAGGGGCAACTGTAAATCCACTCCAGAGAGTCACTGAAGTCTTTGTAACTGTGACCCACCCTTTCCTTCTTTGACTTTTTTTTTTGTTGTCTAAAATGACTCATCCTAGCCGTAATAAATATTGCAATAAAACCTTCTGTCTGATGATTCTAAGCATTCAGAATAAGGAGCAGCCTTATTCTGCAAAAGGCACACGTGATTCTTTCCCTTTCATCCTTCCCCTCTCCCCTTCTCCTTCCCCTCCTCCCTCTCCCTCCCTCTCAGTCTTTGGATCTGAAGATTTAGGCCATCACTCCTCAGTGCTGATTTACAATCAAACACTCTTGAAAAACAGGATGTAAAGCATTACATCACATCACACAGACACACTGAAGAGGTGGCGTAAAAACAAGTCAGAATGAGATTTACAACAGACTTGTTAGATTTCACTTCTAAAGGGCCAATACCATTACCTATGGTCACGAATGGAGAAAGCTGGTGACAAGCAGCCCCCCTTAGACCCTGGTTCTCACTGGTGGCAGCGGCAGCGGTGAGGCACTTGGCAACCCAAGTGCGAGCCCATCGAACAGCACTGGCTGCCCCTTAACCCTGCCGCCAGTCCGGCACTGCCAGGCCGGAGCTGACGTGATCCAGGAACACCAAGTGGATTCAAAGTGAATTCACTGAAAACAAATCTATATGAGGGTTAAGTACTTAGGTTGCATAATTTTTCCCTATGTATCCTTCCTATTCTAAAACAGTAAAATATACTGAAACTAGTTTTATCAGCTGATCTTAAACAAGTATCTGGACACGTGGTAGAAGGTGAAGAATGACAAAACAACTGTAATTTGAAAAACAATCACGTTTGAGGAAAATGGGAAGACCTAGAGTTCACGAATTGAAACCTATTTTATTTCGGTGGTGACCAGCCTTCCCACCATAAAAACATTTGTGCTAGTTTTCTTCGGGAGGAGGCAGGGGTTTGGGAGAGGAAGGCACCAGACTCTCCTCCTCAGGCCCTTCATGTTGACTGTCACCGGAAAAATTACTCTGCCTAAAATACTGCCTCCTTAATGAAATTCCTCTGTTCCAGAGCCCTGTAAAGCTCACAGGATATAGGCTGAACTGCTCACTCCTCTTCAGTCTCAGTATTTCTTCCTACTGAAAACAGTACATTCTAGGCAGTTGACTTGTAAGCCTGTATTCCATTACTTAACACACTTCCTCTCCACTACCTTCCCAGTTTAAGTCTATTCATGTTGGAATTCCACTTTCTTCTGAAAAGCTTTCCTTGACCATGACAGCCTTCAATGAGCTCTCTAATTTATTAAATTCTATAGTCTAACTTACATTTGTCATGCACTGCCTAGTGCTTTTATCATTTTCTCTTGATATACATTTTTCTCAGCCCACCAGGTTCCCTGAGAACAAGGACCCAATACTTCTTAGCAGCCCTGCATCCTTCTTTGTACCCTGTAAGACCACACACCTATTACGAGCTCAAAAAAATCTCTGTTGCTTTGTATATCAATATTTAATTCTATGCTTTTTTAAAAAAGATTTTATTTATTTATTTTTAGAGAGGAAGGGAGAGAGAAAAAGAGGGATAGACATCAGTGTGTGAGAGATACACTACTGTCTCTCGCATGCCCCCAACTAGGGACCTGGACTACAACCCAAGCATTTGTCCTGACCAGGAATTGAACCAGCAGCCTTTTGGTTTGCAGGCTGGCACTCAATCCACTGAGCCACACCAGCTAGGACTAATTCTATGCTTTAAAACAATTTATATGTGTTACATTTGCTGTGTAGTTACACCATTTTGATCTGTTTTTAGTTGGAATAATTTATTATAGGTAATTATAATGGCATTCAGCATAATATTACATGAGTATGACTTCTAAAATAAAGCCTGCTAATTCACAGAAAAACATACATGGTATGGTTTAAAGAAATCTACTTGGTTTATTTTTTAACCCTGATACAAAGCTCTCTAATTTAGAAGAGTTTTTATGTACCTTGTCTAATTGGATCACCACAATAATTAGTGAGAGGGAGATCATCATTGTTTCACTGTAAAGATGAGAACACTGAGACTCTTTCAGACTCAGTGATCCCCCAAGGCCACAGATAGTAAGTATTATTCTAGAGGAGCCACCCATTTTCTACCCATCACTCTTACTGGTGCTCGCGTTCTTGGAGAAGCAAACTGCAGGCCCCCACGGTGTCCCAGGGCCAGTGCTCCTAATCCCTCAGCTACAACTGATGGGGTAAGAGGCACAGGCCTCATCTAAGTGGAGCAATCAGAGTCGTCTCCCCGCCCCCCCCAAACTGTGAATTAGTACACTGGAAAACCAAGTTAGCTTCTATTGAGTACTTAAAATAAGAAAGGCTGTTACAGCCAGGGCCTGGGCAAGCCTGTGCATAATAAAGCAGAACAGGGAAGGGTGGGGAAGGGAGGAGCCGAGGGGATGTGCTTCCTGTGAGACAGACAGAGACTGTTTCCATTCCAGCCACAGTTCTTGGTCTCGGATTCTGGAAGATACCCTCACACAGCTCCAAAAACTCTCTGTTTTTGCCGAAGCCAATTTGAATGAGCTTCTGTTTTCCCAAACTGAATGATTTGTAAGATTGGCAGCACCTAAATAAATTTGAATCTACATTTTCGGAGTCCAAATCTGGTGCTTATTTTACTGTATCACCAGCAAAACATAAGTAATATTTAGTAGAGAATGAAAGAATTAACCAATTTTACTATAAGCTCATATTCTATACAGTCATATAAATTTCTCAGAATGTTCCTTCCCAGGGTTAACAAAATCACTTATGACCACTCAATTTTAGTGTAGAATAAAACCAGTTACTCATAAGCACACAGGTATACATTATTTATAAAAAGATAAAGTGATTTACACATTTACTCTGAAGGAATTTATTCCCATCTTTAAATGTAAATAGAATATTCCTATGATTTACCCACATCCTGTTCATTTGTTACATATTCAGATTGTCTGTACTTAGGCTGTAGTACACACCATGTCCTAGATCACACAGTGTTCTTCAATGCCCTGCATCATTATATATTTTGCCATTAAGAATAAAAGACTCTGTCCTGGCCAGATGGCTCAGTTGGGTGGAGCATCAGTTGGCTCAGCGGGTTCGATCCCAGGTGCGGGGGCATATACCTAGGTGGGGCACGTACAGAAAGCAACTGATCAATGTTTCTCTTTCTCTCTCCCTCCCTTCCTATCTCTCTAAAATCAATAAACATGTCCTTGGGTGAGGATTAAAAAATACATATATGAAAGTTTCAACAGCTAGATGATATGTGTGTAGCTACTTTGGGAAGCAAATGGCAATAATGGTAATGCCATGATAACATTCCTCTTCCATATGTAGATAATCTGTTGTTACTGACTGTCCCCAGCCTTTCTCTTTGGAACAAAAAATCATTCTATAACTGACAGTGTGGTGATACTTGGCAACAATGAAGGTCTGGGGAATTAGCCTGAGACACTAGCACAAAGAGGCTGATAGCCTTTAGATGTGTCTGCCTGGACTCATTACATCTGCTAAGCAATCCGGGGCTAAGACCCTGGACAACTGTGAGAACTCAAAGTCCCTAAACTGCCCATGTATTTGCCTCAAGAAATAAACATGGGAAGACACGAGGTAACGATAGAGGCATGTGCCCATAAGACAGCATGGACTCAGAGGGATATACTACCTAAGCTTTAGAAAATAAGTTTTTCTTTAATTGTCCAGATTTAAAGAAATCAGAGTTTAGAATATTACTTGGGTGTTTTTCTTCAAGGGAAAATCTACTACATAAACTATCTAGGTAGCAACTGGGAATTACAATGAAGTATTAGCCAGGAATTTGGAAATAGGGAAATAAGTCTGTCCACTGAGAGTTAGACTCTAAAGTAAACATATCAGGAATAAGAAAAACAATGTACTGTATAAAAAGTCATCTTAAAAACGCAGAAGGGAGCCAAGAAAAGAGAGCGACAACCACAGGCAGCCTTTCTGCAGGGCTTTTCAGAGGCGACCTCAGTCCCATGAGCATTAAGATCACCAGTGCGGAGCCAGATGGCCCGGCTTCCACATCTCTGCAGCTGTGCACAGGAAGCCTTCTGATTTTAATCTAGCTTCCAGGCAGGCCCTGCCCATATCAGTACAAGAATATCAAGTTGTCTGGGTCAGGAAATAATAAATTGGTTAACCAGATTCCTGTGACCGCACCTGTACCTGGTCACGGCAGCTAGACAAGAGTAGATGCCCATTATTTTCCCATATCTCTTAGGTATTTAAGGAAGTCTGTTGGGTTAGTAAGAGTCAGTACCTTAGAGTCTAATTACATTTTGGTTTACTAATGAATTGGTTCTGAGCTTATAAAGCTCAAGTCTCTAGTTACATGGGTCCATAAAGACCTACAGCTTTGCATGCCAAGAGAAACTGGAAGCCATACCCATTAGGATGGCTATCATCCAAAACAAAACAAAACAAAACAAAATAAAATTAAACCAAACCAAACCCAGAAGACAACAAGTGTTGGTGAGGACATGGAGAAACTTAACACTTGTGCATTGCTTGTGGGAATGTAAAATGGCACAGCCACTGTAGGAAATAGTATGACGGTTCCTCAAAAAATTAAAGAGTTACTGTATGGTCAAGCAATTCTGCTTCTGGGTATATACAGAAAAGAACTGAGGTAGAGACTGAAACACTCACATTCACAGCAGCATTCTTTGCAACAGCCAAAAGGTGGAAACGACTCGACTGTCCACTGACAGACAAACGGACGAAATGTGGTATATACATACAGTGGGGGACTCCTTAGCCTTAAAAAGGAAGGAAATTCTGACACATCCTAGAACATGGGTGAACCTCAGTAACATTATTCTAAGTAAAATAAACCAGACCCAGAAGGCATGATTCCTCCTACATGAGCTAGCTAGAACAGTCAGATTCACAGAGACAGAAAATAGAGTGGTGGTTACCCGATGCTTGTGGCGGGGGAGAGAATGGGGAGCTATTGCTTAAATGCCTACAAAGTTTCAGTCTGTGGTGACAAGAAAGTTCTGGAGATGGACAGAGGAGATGGTTGTACAACAGTGCAAATGCCACTGGCTATACACATAAAAATGATTAAAGTGGTAAATATTATGGTGTGTTGTGTATTTTTACCACAACTTTTTAAAAAGCCATAGAAAAACATAAATGGTAGAACCTAGGTGATGGGTATATAGATGTGTTTAAAATAGAATCTTTTGACTTTGCTGTATTTATTTTTTTATTTATATTTTTAAAAGATTTTATTTATTTATTTTTAGAGAGAGGAGAAAGGAGGGAGAGAGGGAGAGGAACAGAGATCAGTTGCCTCTCAAGTCCCCAGCTGGGGACGTGGCCCGCAACCCCGGCATGTGCCCTCACTGTGAATTGAACCGGCAACCTTTCAGTCTGCAGGCTGGCACTCAATCCACTGAGCCACACCAGCCAGGGCTGACTTCGCTGTCTTTAGATTTTTCTATAATAAAATGTTATGGAAAAAACCCTGGGAAGTCAGCTTATCTTTTCTGGGCATTGCCTTTCTACCTTACTGAACATCTTTTGAAAGTAACCAACTAACCAAGTTTTTATTAAAAGCATCTATCATTTGGCCAAAACATCACTTTAGAATTCTCAGGGAGTTATAGAACAGAGCCTGAAGATTAAAAGCCAAAGTAACCCTTAAATGAGAAATCACAGGACATCAATAGTTTAATTGTGTGTCCTGAACCAATATAGATTATCCACGATTACACTAAACTGTATTTAGGCTGATGTGCACCCACACACTACTGCCAGCCAGGGCAAGTGATCTGGACTTCATTCTAAGATCACCATATTACCACGGGGAGGTTAAATTACAGGAAGGCAAGCACAGAAATGTGGGGCCATGATGTAATACAGGTGAGAAAATGTAGGGGCTTGGGCTAGACAGGTCACAGCTCATTCATCTGACATTCAATGGAGCACGTGAGCACTAGCTGTGCCGAGATTTGTACCTACTTGTCCCTAGGTGACAATAGGCTGTCTACCCTTGCATATCTATAGTAATAACAGCCCTTATACATTTGCTTTGTACCAGGCCTGGTTAAGCATGTTTTATTTTGAAATAATTTACTTATAAAAATGTTGCAAAAGCAATATAGAGTGCTGTAAACCCAGGTTCCCCTAATGTAAGCATCTTATATAACCAAACTGTTTTTTTATGCTTCTGTTGAAAAAGCTGGAGATTATTTTCCCCTCAGAGTTATAACTATTTCTTTTATGCTGACCATAAAAAGGAATCATAAGCCACATAAGGACAAATACATTGCATCTACCAAGGAATAATGACTTTTAAGATGTAAATATATAAACTGCCTCAGACAACAAAAACCAACATTTACTGAACTCTTACTATGAGTTAAATACTTCTTGAAACGTATAACAATAATAGGCTAGTTCACTTCATTCTCATGACAATCCTATAAGGTGACTTTTTAAATCTCTGTCTGAGAAAGGGGGAACTGAGGCAAAGAGAAGTGACAAAAACCGCCTAAGGGCACAGAGCTGGTCAGTGGGGAAGCCAGGATGTGCTACCACCACACTACCTGCCACTCATCCAAGTTATGCTGCTCAGCTGCAATGGCAGACAAATCAAACATTGATAATTAGTATCTCAATATTAATAAAGCAATAAACCATAAAAACTATAAGTGTTACAACATCCACTTTAAATCCACATATTTAAAGAGCTAAGTATTGTACCTGAAATGTTTAAAAGAAAAAAGCCTCTGCCTTCCTCATTCAATAAATTATTTTTTAAGATTTTATTTATTATTAGAGAGGGGAAGGGAGGGAGAAAGAGAGGAGAAACATCAATTGGTTGGCTGCCTCTTGCACAACCCCAAATGGGAACCTGGCCTGCAACCCAGGTATGTGCCCTGATGGGAATCAAACAGGTGACCTTTTGGTTTGAGGGACGACGCCCAACCCACTGAGCCACATTAGTCAGGGCCAATAAATCTTGTTAGATATCCTGATGCCTTCTAATGATTTCTAATACCAGTAATTGCAAGTGATAATTCTCATATTTGCATTTGCTTCAAATAAAATCTACTTGACATTAGTTTTTCTGCCAAGTAATATTATTTGCAGATTACTTTTTTTTGGAACTGTGTGAATGGGTAGCAGGTACTTAAGGAGGTTTTAAAACATTGAACAAAAAGCTTCAACTGGTATGGCTCAGTGGGTTGAGTGTTGTGCCACAAACTGAAAAATCACAGGTTCGATACCCTGTCAGGGCACATGCCTGGGTTGCGGGCCAGGTCTCTGGTTGATGGTATGTGAGGGGCAGCTGATCGATGCTTCTCTTCCTCTCTTTCCTCCTCCCTCCCCTTTTCTCTATAAAAAATAAATAAAACCTTAAAAAAAACTTAACAAAAAATTGTAAAATAATTTAGGGATGCTTTAAAATTCTTCTCAGCTGCATTTTCCCTTTGGATTTAATGTCAGGAAAAATATAGTATGAAAGTAAAATAAACAAGGTTTTAAAAAATGTTTTTAAGAATACATAAGCAAAAAATACACATAGACAAAATGATTTGAGCAATTTAAGTGAAAGCCATTACTATTTCAAAGTTTTCAACATATGCTAGCACACAGAACAAATACCTCATGTCCTGGATAAGGGAGACCCTGAGTGTTGGCAACATAACTCCCGAGTCAGATTTTCTCCTTTCTGGTCCCAGGGCAACTGTGTAGAAAAATATCAGCAAAGTATTAGAAATATAATAGTAAGAAATAAACATCTTTGTGGTTCACATTCTGTCAATAAATACTTTAAAATTACTTTGATGAGAACAAGTTTTCAAGACAAAAGGAAAGCTCAGATTCTTTTCCCTCAATGTTGCTACTTTATTAATACTGTAAACTGGCTATTTTCCTTCTGGGGCTATGCTTGTAAATTTGAAACGAAATCGTAATAGCCCACTTAGCAAATAATGCAGTGTGTGCCAAGTTTGGCCATAAGGGCCAGTCATTTTCTAAAGTTAGTCATTCTAACTGAACTGGGTAATTACATGAAAGCAATGTCTATGTATTAAGCCACTGAGCATGTGAATCATCTCTGGTGTCATGAATTGCAATCACACAATTTCCCTATATAGCAGGACTTCAAATAGGGTTATTTCTTTACAACACTGATGAGATGCCATAGGCATCAGGTTATACCAATCAGCCTGTGGTAGCATTGGTTTCACTGTATGTCGTTTCACTTCGAGACTTAGAACCTACCAACAATATTACGTGAGGATTTACTGTACTCTAAAAGAGTGCTTAAAAAGGAAAATCTAAGAGTTTGGGCTCTCTAGTCTAAGTTTCTACTTTGAAGTTCAGAATCCAAACTATATGGATATCTATAGGCAAACTATATGTCTATCATGCAAAATCTAAATGAACATTTGGAAATACGTAACATCCACGAGTCTCTTATGAAACCTGAATAGCTAATATTTATTAAAAAAGGAAAAATTATTCTCATATATCAATGGCTCGAGCAATCGATGATTTGCTACTGTGCTATAGCTGGGGTGCCCAATCTCACTGTAAGTGAGATGCTGTGGGGGTTCCATACTTTGTGTCTGTTTTCCCATCTGCAAGTGGAAACAAAGCTGCAACGCCACACTTAACAAATACAGCGAATAACATGGGTTTGAAGTGCATGGGTCCACTTACACATGGATTTTCTTCAATAAATATACTGGAAGAATTTTTGGGGGAGTTCCTTACTATTGTGAAGCAATCATACTGATTACATTAGGCTACCATAAAGCAATCGTATTGTTGCTTCATTATCAATGCATGAACCATTATACTTGTACATACGTATGAATTTGCTTTTCGCAATATCTTTCCATGTTTAATGTCTGGTGCATTAGTAACATGTATAACATCTACAGTGCTTTGTATAATGTAAGACAACAGTGATGTAGGTACTGAGAGACAGATGGTACATCCTGTGAACAGGTAACAGACTAAAGTAGTACTCAATACAATATAGTACTGTTAATGTACTTCCTTACTGTTTTCTTAATACATTTTCTTTTCTCTAGAATCCTTTATTATAAGAATGTGTATCTAATACATACAGCACTCCAATATGTATTAACTGATTCTTTTTGTTACGGTCAACATTAGGCTATTAATTTTTTAGTAGTTGAGTTTTGGGGGACTCAAGTTATGTGTAGATTTTAGACTACACTGGGGGGCTGGTCCCCCTAACCCCCATGCTATGCCAGGAACACTGTACATTTATTGATAACATCACAATTTAGGATGTGAGTTTTGCTGTTATGTTGAATGGCATTTTCTCAGATTTTGGACCCACCCTACTTCGGGGAGCTGGGATGTAGTATCGGAACACCATCTACCTGACACTGGCGGCGAAGGCAGACAGCCAGGAACACTGTGCTGTATCAGCATCTGCATGCTCTGGCACTCGGCGGAAGAGGCTGGGCGGACACTTGGCAGGGACAAATGAATACTGGTAGGGCCAGCCTAGCCTAAAGGCAGTTCTTCCAAGGCCTTCTCTACCAGGTGGGTGGCAATAGGCCATTTGTTAGGGCAGCTTTGGGAGGGAGTTTTCAATGGGTTACTGGAAACACCTGTTCATCTTGATACCCAGGAGGTAAAAGACCTGAGGAAACTATTCCAAAGACTGCGTTGTGTTAGTCTTCCTGTCTGAAGCTACTAGCACTTGAGTGTGTTATTAGGGAAAGCACATCTCTCTTTTTTTTGAAAGAAAGTAAAATACAATCCCGATGACTGGACAGCATGAAAGAGGGAAGCATGAGTGGTAAGAAATAGGTTAAGAGGGGAAACTAAAGACCATGAGGCCTGAGAACGGAGATGAAGCCATAATCAGGAAGGTGGCTAGAGGGAGACATGGAAACAAGAAGGAATCATGTCTCTGGGAGCAGAGAACAAGTGACAGGCTTAGTAAGAGAGAAGCCTGTCATTTAAAAAAGCATCCACAGTGAGAGCATCCAGAGGCCTGTGCATGTTCTGGGAATCCTGTTTCAGGATGATACATTCAGCCACCCTTCTCTGATCGACGCTCCTTCAACACACGATGTGCTTTCATGTCTTGGTGCAATCTGATGGCCCTTCAGCGTTCTGCATACTTCTCCTTGTTTGTAGCTTCTTTATCACTTCAGACTGAGAGCAGTACAGCTTAATGGTTAAGAAAATGGCTTTTTCAGATCCTGCAGAGGGAACTTAACAGCTCACTGACTTTGAGTGAGTGATTTAAATTCTGTGGTCTGTTTGCTCATCTGCAAATTGGGAACATTAACAGTATCTACTTTATTCAAATAGATGGAAAGCACTTAGAACAGTGTCTGGCACAAAATAAGTCCTCAATAAATAAACTTTAGCTTTAATTTTGCCTCTGAAGTCTTTCCTGAATATTCTCTCTGCCCTAAGTACACTATTAGGTGTCATTCTCTCTAACAGGACCTGTAAAACTGAACATCTATCGTAAACTTACCACAATTTAACCTTCTGTTACTCCTACGATCCTACTTATCTATGCCTCTTGACGCTCGGTCATACCCTGTTTTTAGAATGCCCACAGGGCCTAGCAGAGGCCCCACACAACATACATGCTCAGCAAATACTCACTGAGGAAGATGAGTCTGTTTAGGGCCAGATGGTGGAATCTTAAAAAAGAAGTTAGACATTTACAGGAATCCTAAAGACAGGGGAGGGATTTGAAAAAAAAAAATGATATGCTCATGAGTAGTTTTCAGTTATTAACTAGAGTGACAGTGTAATGATGTAAAAGACGACGAGAGATGAGCCAGAAGTTCTTCCAAAGGCCAGTGGGTGAACTCGGACAGTGGCAGCCAGCCAGCACCATGAGGAGGCACACACGCAGCAGCAGAAAACAAAGGACTTCACAACGGCCAGATGTAAAGGCTAAGCAAGACTCAAGAGTCAAAAGCGGTGTTAACTATGGATATAAAAATGTCTATATTACCCTAATTATAACAATCCTCTGAATTTTTTTAAATTTTTAAAAAGATTTTATTTATTTATTTTCAGAGAGGAAAGGGAGGGAGAAAGAAAGAGAAACATCAATGTCAAGTTGCTGGAGGCCTTGGCCTGCAACCTAGGCATGTACCCTGGACTGGGAATCGAACCCATGATGCCCTGGTTTGCAGGCCATGCCCAATCCACTGAGCCATGCCAGCCAGGGCGGTCCTCTGAATTTTTTAATCTTCATTTTGCAGATGAAGAAACTGGGGCTCAAAGTTGTTAAGGGGCAGGGTGTCCGGATGGCATGTCCAGTGGGCTTCTGGTACATTACAGATGACTTTCTAGCTTCTAAACTCGATGGAGAGCAGGGGCTGATGCCTTCAAATAAGGTGGACAGAGAAGGCCCAATAAGGACAGGAGGGGATGTGCTGAGATGATGAGTTTTGACTTAGGACCAGTTGGGTCCGAGGTCCCAATGGGCCACCCGAATGGATGGGTAGGGACTAGGGCTGGATGCAGAGGTTCGTGGAGAATCTGCTAATGGGGTACTGGGTGATGACACTGCAGCAGGCAACAGTGGTTGTTACGGTTTGAATTATGTCCCCCAAGAGGATGCCGAAGTCCTAACCACCAGTACCTGCAGATCTAACCTTTTTGGAAACAGGGTCTTTGTAAATGAAGTTACGATGAGGTCATTGGGATGGGCCCTAGTCCAACATGACTCGTGTCCTTATGAAAAGGGAAAATTTGGACAGACAGACAGACATGTGTAGAGAAAAGGGCAGGTAACGACCCAGGGAGGATGCCATCTACTGGTCATGGAATTCTTGGGACTACCAGAAGCTAGGAGAGAGGCATGGGACAGATTCTCCTTCACAGCCCTCAGCAGGAACCGCCCCTGCTGACACCTTGATTTTGGACTTCTAGCTGCCAGAACCGTGGGAAGTAAACTTCTGTTTACTTCCGTGGGACAGTAAACTTCTGTTGTTTGAGCCACCCGGTTTGTGGTGCTTTATTACAGTAGCCGCAGGAAACTAACACCCTAGTTTATTAGGGACTTTGGAGGGAGCAGTTCAGAAGGCTGTGAGCAGAAGGCAGGTAAGAGTTAAGAAGGAAAGCCATACTTTTAATCTACAGATGTAAAATCCAAGGTTTCCATGGAGTCTACTCCAGAAGAGAAATTTATAAACTATTTAAATGTGTACCCCTATTACTGTTCTTAATTCAATATACTTAAATGCAACAGGCCACTTTCTCCTCCAGTAAAACCCTTGTGGATTTCCACTTCGCTACAGGAACCCTTCTGTGTACCTGCGTGCATCAACACTGCTGCAGAGCAGCAGGTGTGCAGAGGGCGGGGGCTGTGTATTATTTTTACAGAATCATCTACAGTCTAGATGGAGGTAAGCAATTAATAGAAAATTTGGGTTAAGATCAGATGATTGAAGAATGACTCAAAATTCTCAGGCTAGATCCAGAATAACTACTTAAAAGCGGTATTTCTTCCCTTTTGGGCATCCTACCCTACCTCTTGCCAACTGACTTAAAAATCCATTTAAAGTTTAGTGGAATCTTGCTAAGGATTCTAGGTTTAAGAACAACTATGTCTAAGCTGGCCAGCATTTTTAAAAGTAGACACTTTGGGTGATATGTCAGGAACAGTCCCCTTTCTTAGGATCAGTTACATCCTGAGATCCTGTCTCTGCAGCAGGACTTCAAACTATAGTGTGCAGGGACTTGGTCAAAACTTGACTAGGTCACAATTCAGACTGTCTGAAAGACATGGAGGAACCTCAATGCATATTGCCAAGTGCAAGAAGCCCATCTGAAAAGGCTGTGTACTATATGACACTCTGGATAAGGCAAAACTATGGAGACAGTGAAAAGCTCAGTGGTTGACAGGGGCAAAGGGAGAGCAAGAGATGAACAGGCAGAGGATTTTTAGGGCAGTGAAACTATTCTGAATGAAACTATAATGGTGGCTACATGTCATTATAGATTTGTCTAAACTCACAGTTCAACACCAAAAGTGAAACCTAATGTAAACCATGAATTTTGGGGTGATGATGTATTGGTGCAGGTTCATCAACTGTAAGAAATGTACTACTTTGCACTGGCACTTGTGGCTCAGTGGTTTGGGCATCATCCTGAAAACCAAAAGGTTGCCAGTTTGATTCCTGGTCAGGGCACATGCTGAGTTGTGGGTTTGGACCTCGGTAGGGGCATGTACAGAAGGTACCCAATTGATGTTTCTCTCCCTTTCTCCCTCTCTTCCCCTCCCCTGTTGGGAACTACCCTGCCTGTTTTCAGGAGCTGTAACCCCGCCATGGCTAAGGCTGAGTGAGTGACCTTCGGACCATAAGCCACTAAGGAGACAAAACTTATCTTCCTGGCAGGGGCGCTGCTTCTGCCTCTTTTACTTCACCCTGCCTGGCCCCCAATGTTTGATCAGTTAGCCGATGATGGGTAAGATCCCTCAAGGGAGAGACAACCTAAGACAGGCACAATCACGGGGCCCCCATGGAAGGACTTGAAGGCTACAGAAAAGGGGTAATAGACCCTTGCCCCTTGGCTTTGGCACAGCCTGAGTCCTCCTTCTGTCTGCAAGAAGTCTCCTAATCTCTTGGCTACCTTACTTCCCCTGCCTGACTTAAGTCTGAAACAATGCTGGAGGTGGGTGCCACCCTGTGCTGGAAAGGGCAGGTTCCCTAGGGCAATCAGGCCTAAGAAAGAATATGTAAAATCCTGTGAAACCTGCTTTGTTTAGAATGCTCTGAACTAAATGATAAGGGTCCCACCATGAAGTGAATTTGTTCCCCAAAGTTCTATGGCCCTTTAGTTATCTGACCCTGACTCAAAACAGGCCCTCAGAGTTCTTTGTATGTTATCTATTGTTTGATCCTCACTGCCTGATAATGATTAATGAGCTTTACGTATACACCCTGTGTTCCTATGCAACTTGAATCCAATAAAAGCCTCTCAAGGCAAGGGTCGGGGCACTCTCCTCTTGAAGAGGGTGGCGGAGTTGCTCCGAAGCTTGCTCTCCCCTGGAGAGAGAAGTCATGCTGTCCCTTTTCCTCCACAGGACTCGGTGGTCCGTGTGAACTTATTTCGTCTCATCCATAATGCCAAGACCCTTCTGGTGCCCACATCATTCCCCCTCAAGAAAAGGGGCAGCGGTGGGGGGGGGGGCGGGGAGGAGAAGAAACGTACCACTTTGGTGGGAGATGTGGATAATCGGGGAGGCAACTCATTGGAGGCAGAGGATATACAGGGAGTCTCTGTATCATCTGCTCATTATTACTGTGAACGAAGAGCTACTCTAAAACATAAAGTCTGTTAAAAAACTAAAACAAGCTACCCTGCCATGGTCCTCTGGCTGAGACAGGCCTATCCCAATTTTCAGCAATCATTACAAAGTCTCTGGCACCTGACAGCGCCGCTTCTGAAGGAACGGGACCGGTGTGTCACCTGGTCTCCTCCCGGCTCCGGTCAGTGGCTGGGTGCTCGCCCCCGCTGCGGCTCTCCACGGACTCAGAGGGTCTCTCCTTAATGTGAAAATGCAGTCTGTCTACTGCCATTAATTAGGAAGCCTAACAGTTGGCAAACAAAAGTGTTTCTTTTTGAAAAACAAAACAAAACAAACCACCCTGATTTAAAAGCAGTCAATGCTCATTTCTATATAATTAGAACACATTGTTTCTCAATAATGAAATATTTTATTTTTATGTGTTTTTACACATATTTCACAGTTATATTTTTAAATCCTAATTTCGTGGGCTGAATCATCAGAAGTGTTAGAGCAGTATTTATACAACCTCTCTCTGCAAACAGACAATAATTTCATTTCAAAAGCTGCGGGGCTTACACGTACCCTGCCGAGGGTCAGTGAAACAGTGAGCTCCCACTCATTTCTGTCCCATTGGCCCTTCAGCACTTGAGAGTGCAGATGCGCCAGGCTTTACACACCGTGTCTCTGAGCCTCGACTTCGGAGTTCCGCTGGTCCCCAGGGGACTGACCGCAGGCCAGCTGGCCAGCCCAAGCCCTGAGGCTGCTGGTGTGGCCGGGCGCTGTGGGCTCTCCTGGCTGGGCACTCTCACACGCCTCATGGGCACCTGCGGCAAAGGCTTCCGCCTCCCTGCCGTAACTGAGCTTGGCTTTCCAACTTTTCCTCCTAAAGATGGCTAGTTTTTCCCTAGGAATTTGTTTCTTCTAATTAGGGTAAGCTACTTTGGTCTTATGGGCTGAAAGCTTCCATTTCTATGAGCACAATGTTACAGAGAGTTTGAGAGCTGAGATCTCAACAGGTCTTGGTCTCAGTCTTTGTAAATATAGGTACATTTTGAGACATTAGAACCATAATACTCTGTTTAGAGGGGCTCCAGGGCAACTTAGTACCAAATTCACATTCCTCGCTGTTTCACTGGACACATTTGAAAACTAGGTTTCCAATGACAGGCGCCCTATGTAGGCAGTATTGTGCTCTAGCAGCAGCAGGGCGGGTGGAAACGGAGTGCGTCCGTCATGTTTGCAAGGCTTCATTTCTTAAGCCGGTGGTCAGCTTATGAGTTATTTTCCCTCCCTTACATTTCTGAATGTCTTTAAAAAATCCACAATTTTAGAAGAGTTTTCCAAATCAGTATAAAACATTCTATCTCTACTAGGCTTTCCACTGTTACTTCTACTTTTTGTGAAACAGATGGCTGTTTTACATACAGAAAATCAAGCTCCTTGTTGTAAAAGAGAAAATACACAGCAGGTAGCGTGACTAGGGACCTCACATAAGTCTAACTAGCTAAAGAAGTCAACACTTCCAACTTAAGTGTCCTATTATAAGTTGAAGAAGAAATCTGACTCTTGAAGATTTTCGAGACATAGATGCATTTTCCCCCCTGAAAGATTAAGGATGTTTATAAAATTTTTCTTTCAGAAAAAAATCAGTATATACTTCACCACAATACTGGTGAGAGTAAGGCATATACAGAAAATCCTCACTTAATATTGGCAAGTTCTTAGAAACTGCAACTTCAAGCAAAATCATGTCTGACAAAACCCCTTTCATCGTGGGCTATAAAGAGTTAAGTACTTACAGCATACTTCTGGTCACAAAAATATCACCAAACTTCTAAACAAAGACCCGAAACACTTCTAATGTTAAACAATGAAATATATGTGATTTCAGGAAGATTAATAGAAACAAGATGGTTTTCCAATCTGCTTATTCTGGTTCAGGGCCGCAGGTGGCTGGAGCCTCTTCCGGCAGCTCAAGGGGTAGTAAGGTGGGAACCCACACCAGACAGGACACTCGTCCATCGCAGGTGCACGCACAGCCACATGCACTCACACTGGGGCAGTGCGGACAGGCCAATTCGCCTCACAGGCACATCTTTGGGATGTGGAGGGAAACCGAGGTTCCTGGAGAAAACCCCACACAGACAGTGGCTGTGGGGAGGAACTGATTTTCCCTTCATTTGATCAACATGACAGTCTTGGCACAGCTACTATTTCTCTCTCCTGTCTTGTGAATGGGGAGACTGAAGATCAAAAAGGTCAAGTGATTTTTCCCTGACCACACAGCTAGTAAGCAATAGTGCTCCTTGTCCTTTACTCCACTACTGACGAGATGGGGTAAGTTTCAGCTTGAGAGAGAGGTAGAGACAAAGCTATATGGTATTAATTCTTCACGTGGTCCAATTCTGCCAATTCTGTAGAAACAATCAAACCAACGAACTCACCTGGTGATTCTGCAAGGTGCTCTTGTTTCTCTTCTCTATCCTGAAACTGAATTAAATGTGACCACAAAGCCGACTTCCCCTGAAAGTACAAGGTATATAGAATTTTCATTTTATAAGAAATAATACATCAAAAAAATAATTTTGCATCAAAACCATTCACGATGAAATGGCCATTTTGAAGGCTGAAGAACCAAGCTCATCCACGTCCAGGTGTGTGACATCCTGAACGCGTAGTGACTCTCCGTGTAACAAGGGTCACGCTCTGCTTCACAGAGAAGACTAGCAACAGCCTGGGGAGCAGCAGCTACTAAGCAAGCGGCCAGAAGCAGAGGTACACAGATTTCTGACTTCAGCTTGGTTGTTACCTAGCTGCATATATTCAGGGCTGTCTATATTAGCCGACACCAGTAGCCATGGAATTAAAAGGCTCTAGCAGCACAGGATGAATTTGTGTGTATCCATACGCAAAATACGTTTGATTAGATGGAATGGCAAAGAGGGAAGAAAAGTGGGGCAAGAAGAGAAAGAGAAAAGGGAAAGAAGAAATATGCACCCAACTGGGGAAAAAACAAAACAAAACAAAACAGAGAGGGAGACGAGAGAGACAAAAGCAAAGAAGCCATTTGAATTTTTCCATCCTGAGTGACTATGCAACTTAAAATGATACAGAACTGTTACTTTCTGGCTGACAGGCTTTTTTGCTGGACAGTGACAAAAGCAGGCACTTAATGGAATCTACAGGGGACACAGTCTCTGCAGCGAACGTACTGCTTCACCCCTTCCTGTTTACCAGGAAAGAGCCCCAAACCGCCTCCTAATCATGGGTTGTATTTTCTTTTTCTGGCATTAAAATGCCTGTGGTGCGTTCCTAGTCATCCTGTGACAAAGAAACGTACCCTTTAATTTTTATGATATTCTTTTCTCCTTGCTATGTTTCCCGACAGGGCTCCTAAGTGGCCATGTCACTGAGGGCTCCTGCGACGGTTACCTGCTTGACCTGCAGGCCATGGCTCCATATCCTTTCCAGGAGGTCACAGAGGCTGGCGATCAAGGTGTTCTCCTCCAAGCCCGTTATGTTCGCCTCCCCGTGGCCCAGCTCCACTGCTTCGTGGCCCATCTTCTCCACCAGCATGCGTTTTGTCTGAAAACATTATGTGTGGCCACAAGTGTTACCTCAGCAGTGAGGCCAAAACTCAGCGAGTCCATTACTGGGTCCGGGGACTGGGGTTCCCGAGTCTAGATTTCTAACTGCAGATCTCCAGTCACCTCAGAAAGTGTCTTAATCCCTGTGGTCAACTAACTGGAGTGACATAATGTATACGCTTACTATTTTGTCAGAGAAAAAGAGGGTCACTAAAGAGACATTATGATACTGAAGTGTCCTCACATAAATATTTACATATGACAGTTTTCAGATTACTAACTTGAGTAATATTGAGAAATTACACCAGATCCAGAAAAGGTGATGTCAGAATTTAAAACCCTATCTTGCCACCAAGCTTGCCCCACTGCCCCTCGTCTTGGCGTACTCAAGTCTCTGCACTGCCGCAGAAAACAGTACAAACCAGCAGCTCTAATTTCTTTTTGGAACTCTCTAATTTGCATGTGAACCGGTATTTTTTTCCTTCCTGCTTTCCTTTTTTATTTCTTGTCTGCTCATGAGTATGCACCAAAAAATGGAAAGGAAATGGAAATCAAGTTTCAGGTAGGTTAATTTACAGTAGTCTTAGCTGCTCTTGTAAAATGTAAAGTGACAGAGAATCTAGTTCCTAGGCAGAGACCTAGTCTATGATTCAGCCCTATCTGTGGATGCTAAAAATAGGGCTTTTATAGAGTACACAGAACAGGTCCTAAAGAAATGACTGTCAAATAAATGAATAAAATTATTGGCTAAAATGATGTTCTGGGGTTTGTCAATCTGCACTGCCTATCAGAGGGGAGACTAGTGTGTAATATACATGAGCCAGCAATCTTCTTCCTTATGTGTACACTCACACATGTATGGGCAGGAATAAAATTCCACACAGATGCACAGACAGATACAAAAAGTGTGCTGCCTTTTGCATAAGGTGACAACATCCCTGACACAACTTCTCACTGGCTTAATATCTGTTTCTGTTGGAGGGGAAGATAGCAGTTGTTGAAAAGGTGACAAAACTGTGCAGGGCTCCCATGTCACTAATTCTGTGGGCAACGGAGAACCCATGGAGGTTTACAACCTCAGGAGAAAGCACACGGGGTTTAGGCCCAAATAAACCCTGTGCTTCTAGGGAAGCTACAGGCTCAAATGAGGGTGGACTCCAGTCATCTTGGCCTTACACGTGGAGTGAACATGAAGCACACTGCCCCCTTGCGTCCGTGAGCAATACATACCTTCATTCTACATTCCTTTAATAAGCCTTCTACAAATTTCCAGTTGGTCTGTGCAATCACTGCTGGAGAGAGGTCTGACAATTTCGGTTGCCTCAGGTTTTTTCCTAAACTTCGTGCTTCTTGCATGTATTTCTAAAAATCAAAGAGTATTTTTAATGCATAGACATCAGACACTCTTCCGACCGATTCAACCTTAAACAAACAAGTGCAGGAATGATGTAAGTGTACACGTGCAACAGGAATTCAAGTTTTAGTGTGCTGAAAGACAGGACGTTCCTTCTCCCCCCAGCTGTTAACTGCTGTGAAAACAAGCATGTAGAAAGCCCATCAGGTTAAAACTCATTCAAAATGAGACAGCATTTCAACAAGTTTAGTCTTTTTACTGGGAAGACCCAAAGTTGTGGTTAGTCAGGATCATGGTTGGAATGACAATATTTGGTGCCTGGATTGCAAATCCAAGGTTCCGCAGGAACCCAGTGATTCTCGGATCCCTGGTTTCCACCACACCTCTCCCCACAGATTAAGAGACTTAACACACTTCTAGCCCCTTGGGCACTGCACCCAACCCAATCCTTTCCTCTCATCATGTCATAACAGTAAAATCAGGAGCTCTAGGATCTGGGCGCAACTAATTTTATGACCTCAGATGCATCTGCTTCTTCATAAAATGCACATAAAACATGCCCAGCCACCTCACAAGAAAGGCTCTGAGATCACTCTCAAAGTATCATGTGCTGCACATGCAGGAGGCCTCTGTGATGTTCGCTACATCCCCTCTCTGCCTTCTTCCACAATCAAGAGGAAGTGAAAACGTCCCATTACTCGTGATGGCTCAGGCAGCAGCACAGAAACCCAGTGCGCTGTGCTCGAGCTCTTTGGTTAGTGAATGTTCAGGGGGAAAAAATAGCACTACATGTGATTTGCACAGGACACCTGCTGTCTCTTTCTATGCCACCTGCAAAAGCTCATTCAGGTAGTTTCTGTTTGCATCAGGACCACAGAACAGAACCCCCAGAAGTCCAAGTATCTCAGAACAATTTTTAGAGAATAACGACTCTAAATTATATAGTAAAACTAGCAGTTTGTTGGAGAGACTGCAAGCCAGCGCATCCTCCCACAGACACATATGTGAAATCCATCTTGCTATCTTAAGAGGAGAATTTGAAATTGTAAGTGAAGATGTGTAAAATTCTTTGCATTCTTTAAATAAAAGGGAATTCGTACATTTAATATATTTCCCCTCTGCCAAATCTGGTACAATTTTTTAAAAACTCCAGTGATTAGGGATTCAGCTAATTAGTTTACTGCTGCTCCCCAACTCTCCTGACAAAATGCCAAATTAATGAAATAATCTGTTTCTATTCCAGTGTAATCATTTTAAGGACAGATTTACAAACCAAACAAACTCCAAAAGCATTCAGTGCCCATAAACTTGCGCATGCCTCTTTCTGCTTCAAATCCTTTTTAGAGGCTCAAACAAAGAGGGAAAACTGAGAATGAGAGAAAACTATCACTACGAGGAAAACTAAAACAGGCCCATTGAAATATCCCAAAGGTTAGTGTTCAAATAAATAAAAGCAGGAAATGAAGTGTCAGCAACACTAACCTGAGACAGAGGCAGGGACTCTATGTGAGAATTATATCTGCGACTTCTATTATTCAGGTTGTACTAATGTTAGTTGGAATATTACAAATCAGAGACAAAAGGTTGGTAAAAAACAAATGCTAACTGCTGAGTGCTAATAAGGTTTTATTTCCCACCCTCAGTTCCTCTGTCTCTAGGACTTTTGCAAATACAGAGAGAACCACTACAAGACTCATTCTCAAGAAGAGTTAAGTGTCGAACTTGGCTTAGGAAGAAATGCTGCCTGGAAGGAAAAGCGTGAGGTCAGGCAAGAGGGCAGGAAGGACAACTCACTAACTGCACTAACAACTAAGCCCTCTTTAAAGTTTATGTCCTATTATATAAACGAGAACAAGTTAGAATGGGCTGTGCTTTGAGTGGCCGTAAACATTGAGCACCCAGTCCTATACCCATGCGTCCCGGAGAGGCAGCAGCCAAGACTGAACTCCACAGGGACCATGTGTCACGTCTCCTTCTGAGCAGCTCTGCTGGAGCACAGAATGAGCAGCATCCCAGGGACACGCACAGAAAGGATAGGCAAGGCAACACAGGCCCTTCCTCACAGCAAGAAGTAAGGCTGCTTGTGTACACTGCAAAACCAAGGGAGGAGAAAAATACGATTTTCTTTAGGACAGCTGTGGGAAAAGGTATATTTTTAAATGAAAATGGAGGAGAAAAAAAATCTTTCCCAAGAAAGGTTTTTATAATAAAGCCATTTCACTGCAGAGGGAAGTCACCTTAGCTTTGTTCTGAGATTTCTAATTTGCTCTTCTTTTTCTTTTTAAAGGTTTTCAATTTTTTCTTTCCTTTTCTTTTTTTTAAAGATTTATTTACTTTCAAAGAGAGGGGAAGGGAGGGAGAAGGAGAGGGAGAGAAACATCAATGTGTGGTTGCCTCTAACACACCATTACTAGGGACCAGGCCTACAACCCAGGCATGTGCCCTGACTGGGAATTGAACCACCAACCCTCTGCTTTGTAGTCTGGCGCTTAATCTACTGAGCTATACCAGCCAGGGCTAATTTCCTCTTCTTCATTTCTGTCAAAGTCAAAAGCAACAAACCACTAGGAAACACCTATGAAAATATATCCTACTAATTAACAATCACTGAACTAACTATTCCTCAGTACAGGCTCTCTCTGAATTTTCTATTAAACATTTTGTTCTAACTGGCACTGAGGTTGTGAAGAGAAGACCATTACAAAAGTAAGTACATTTATGCTAATATCATGATAGGAACAAAATATAACCAATAGTCTCTTGTCCTCAGAAGCAGTTTAGAGCCACCTGGTATGCAGGGTTACTGGGAAGAGGACAGGCCTGGAAGTCAGGAGTCCTGGGCTGCAGGCCTGGCTCTGCCTTTGTGTATCCCTCTATCTTTGGACAAGTCTCTTGGGGATTTCACAAGTCAGTGAAATCATGTCAAGTTACACAAGATGATCTCAAAGGTTCCTCTTAGCACTAATATTCTGTATTGATGACCTGATAAAATACAGACTAGAAAGGGTAAATAAACTAAAATGCTGTGGAGATAAAACCTAACCAAAAAGCTGACTGAAAATAAATCACTTCTGTGAAATGCTTACATAAAAGTAAGCTTGAATATTTAATATATATCCCTTTGGAAGGAAAATAATTTGCTAAATCTGTTCTCCATCCCCCTACCAATCCCACTGATCAGGGATTGGAATGATCTATTTTACCTGCCAACAGTACAGAATTATTGTGTCAGCACACACCACCACAAAAAGATACCAAACACAAGAGGAAGTGAACAGCAAAAGGGAGAGGCTGAGAGTTTGCATCACGGGGTGGTATGAGGCATTCTGGAGCTATGTGCACTCACATGTGTGGATAAGTCAAGGAACACCAAAGACAAGATTCGGGAACATCTGCAAAGCACCTTCAGGCAAAGAACATACCAGGCAGCACTCAGAGAAGGACTTTTTGGGAAGTCGTGCGGGAGGAGGTGTACCCTGATCCCACTCCCAGAATGCCATGGAGTTCTGACAGACCAAAAGTTCCCCGGAAGGCTAAGAGGACGGAGAAGGCCAACGACAGAAGAGCAAAAGAGAAAAGGATATGGGGAAAAGAGATAAGCAGAACAAGCATGCATATGATAAAGTCACGGCAAAAGAAAAAGGAGAGAAGAAAATACAGTAGCGCAAAAAGAACTACATATGTTATGCTTTGGTTCTTAAGAAAATATTTAAAATCATATAGGTATGAACACACCAACAAGAAGCAATATATATTTGGAATCATGCTCTCTGCCATATTTCTACAGATTTGAGTTTAGAAAATAGTTAACAGAGGTTCTGATTGCATTTTTCATTTTTGATCACAAGAAATAATCAACTTATTTAAAATTATTCAATATATAATTATGATTTTATTTTCAAGTAGTACATATAAAGAATGAGATCTTAATTTAAAAATAACTTTAAGAAACTTTTAAAGTAGTTTCAGCAAGACAAAGACAAAATACAGGCAAGTACATCTCAACTTACTAAGTTTAAATTATGCTTGAAATAATGTCTATGCTTCTTATAAATTTTTTTCCCCACAGGAGACATATTGACCAAAGATTTATCTTAAACTTGGCCTTGTAATCGTGATACACAGGGAGACTTGTTTTAGATGTACCGAAACTACAAAAATGGAAAAAAAGGTGTTTTCTGCTGTAGATCAGTACAAAAGGACAACTCTTAAAATATGACGGGATGGTTTTTTAAAAAGAACGGGAAAGGGCCCACACGACGACGACCCCTGCGGGCTGAGCGAGCCGAGGTGAGGGCTCCCGCATGCGGGCTTCCCAGCCAGGCCGCACGTACCTCTCTCACGTCGCTGTCCAGGCCCACGTGGTCCGGGTGCTGGCGCAGGCGGTCTTTCCTGCGCTGTGTGGTAGCGCTCCGACTTACCCAGCGGCTGAAAAAATAGAAGAGGTAGGTGAAAACAAACCAACCAAAAAAATGCAGTCACTTACCTTTAAAATAGAATGAAGGAACTGTTCAAAACAAAAGACTGACAATACTTACCTTTTCTTTATTAAATACGTAACAGCTTTACTGAGATGTAATTTACAATCACCCACTTAAACCATGTAATTCAACAGTGTTTAGTATATTCAGAAATACATAATCATCACCACAATCAATACTTTTTTTAAAAAACTGAGGTTAAAAAACACATATTATCCTCTCCTTCCTATCCTGCTCGTCCAACAGAGCCCAAAACCCTGGATGGATACGACCCTCTGCCTTCCTCATCCTCATACCCATGAGGGTTAGTTCTTGATTTCACTCGAGTGCCAATGAATCACTTCACCCGCCCTTTATCGAATCTCCCAATTCCCGCAAAGACTATTCCGCATCTTTCACTTCAAGTACCTCCACTCAAACGATGACCTACCTTGCCTCCTTCCTCTTGCCCTTAATGATGTACACACACAGACACCTCACCATTCTTCTAATCCCAAAGTATGAAACACACTGGCCAGGGCTCAAAACTGTTCATTCCACCTGGATCCCTGACCAGTTCTCCCTTGCTTTCTTTAGCCTGCTCTACTGGTCACCTCCTTTGCTGTCTTTCCAATTCTTCTTTCCCAACTAAGTATTTCCTTTCATCTTACAGGCAGGCTGGTGTCTCTCTTGACTTTATATAGTTATGTCTAAACTCCTTTATTCTTCTCATGTAAAATTCTGAAAGTGAAAAGTGTAGATGTAAGGCCTCTACTTATTTACCTTTGGATTTCAGTTCATCTCATGAAAATGCTCTTGATAAAGCCACTGACACCCCTACCTGCCACATGCTACAGCTATTATTCATTCAATTCTTGGCTTACTCAAACTCTCTGCTGCATTTAGCGCTGCTGATCACTCCTTCTACCTTGAAACTCCAGCTAGTGTCAACTGCCTCAGCGTCTCCAATGAGATAAACTCTCTCACAGTTGAGCCCTTTCCATGAAGTCTTCTCCCAACTTCTATTCCACTTTCAGATAGCTTAGACAGCACACACAAGGTGTTCTGTGATTCTTCCAAATCCAAATTAGCCACCTGTTTTATACTTCTCAATTGTAGTGCTACTTATCATAGTTATTCTTACCTCCACCTTCTATAAACTCCTCTCTAATATAAACTCTTGAAAGGCTTGTAACATGTCTGTCAGATACTTTATTGGCATAATCTATGATGTCACCTGACTCTTCTATAAATACACCTTAAAAAAATAATCACAGATGCTGCCCTGGCCTGTGTGGCTCAGTTGGTTGGGCGTCATCCTGCAAACCAAAAGGTTACCAGTTTGATTCCCTGTCAGGGTACATGCCTGGGTTGTGAGTTCAGTCCCCAGTCGGGGCACATGCAAGAAGCAACTGATCAGTGTTTCTCTCACACTGATGTTTCTCTTCCTCTCTTCTTCCTTTCCTTCCCTATCTCTAAAAATAAAAAAATAAAATCTTAAACAAAAATCACAGATGCAATCTGACATTCAGGTTTATAGATGTTCATCATGGCAAATACGCAGCAACAGATTTTGTGTTTCCTTTATTCCAAGACACATTTTGGCTTATAAATGTTCCTGAAATTCGGACAGATCTTTAACTCCAAATGCTGAATGCATAATTTTTCCAAAAAGCTCTTGAGTAAATAGCAGATCTTACACCCAGCAGTTATTAAGTAAACATGCTCGAAAAAACCTAACTGTTCAACAGCAGGGGGTGCTATACAACACACTGTCACATAATCATTAAAAAAAATCAAATTTCTAGGAATATTAATAATAGAGGAGAGTGTTCCTGATACAATAATGAATGAAAAAGCAAGACACAATGCTGTATAAACAATATTCTAATTTCATAAAAGAGAAAAAAGTGTGAACACATGCGCCTCCCACCCCCACCCCTAGGATCCATGCAATGGGAAAAAAACCCTACCAAATGTTAACATCTCATGATTTGGGCATCATGGGTGGTTTTAAAATTTACCCTCTCATTTTCCAATATTTAAACATTTTGAATAACATGTTTTGTTTTATATTTAACTGCTTTAAAAAATTCCCCAGGTCTTGACTATTAAAATGAGAAAGCTGCTTCTTTTGTTTCTTATTAAATAATTTATACATGCCTTTGGCCTGAAGCTTCTATATCATCTCATTTCTGTCTGCTAGAGGAACACAAATAATTATAACAATAGTAGCAAGAAAAATAGCAGTGGCCTCTTTTAAAATAGTTTTTTGTTTTGTTTTGTTTTAAAGGATATAGATAGGTTTGTATCAGGGGAAAAATATGCAAAGAGAGATCCACTGAAAGATCTCTGAAGTGAAATCCTGGGGTATGTCCCTAAAGCAAAGAGAGGGTCAATGTAAGACTGTAAAAAGGATATCAAGAAAATTGGGGAAACAGAAAAGACCCCCCCAAAAAAAAACACAGTGAGACACTGACAAAGACTTTTTGCTTGGCCAATCTACAATCAGCCTCCTGAACCATCTCCTAGGCCCACCTGTACACATCCTTGTAAAATTCAGTTTTAGTTAAGAACCCTACTAAGTCAGTTTAGAAGAAACCCCCACCCTCAGGATACGTGAGCTCTCCCATCTGATCTGGTCCCTCGTCCTTCTGCAGCCCCAGGGGACGCCGAACCACTCTGGCCTGCCTTCAGCAAGAGTCCTGTTAGGTCAGTTTAGTCAGGTTCTCCCTAAGCCCTAGCATTTCCACTTAGTGGTTTCTCATCCACTGACTCCCACACGCTGCTCCTCGGCTGTAAGTTCCTCCTTGACCATCATACATTTGGAGTTGAGTCCAACCTCTCTTCCCCACTGCAGAACCCCACTGCAGAACCCCCCTATCACCACAGCCTGTTGAACCATCTTCAACAAGTGTCACAAATGTTTTTTCCTTAACAGCTCTGAAGCAGAATATCAACATCAGCTGATAAAGTTACATACTAACTAAAGGGGAAGTGTAAAATATAAATAGCAAAAGAAAATGTATAAGACTTGGAGGCCTTGGAAATAGCCTAGGAGCAATTTTAACATAGTAAAATTTGTTCAGGGTTTTAAAAAAATTAGGGCTAATGGGTAGAGTGGTTCAAATAAGTAGCAAAAACCTGAAACAGAATATAAACACCAGCTAAAGAGTTAATATAATAAAAAGAAGAATACAGCAGAGCATTTGCCTGGGCAGACAAAGTGAAAAAGACTTTAGGTAAAGAAAAGGATAAATACTAACTTAGATAATATAACTAGCACCTTACTATTCACTCTGTGGGACAAAATGCCCTAATTTTATTGTCAAAACAGGTACATGAGTGCCCTGGTTGAGTGCCTTGGTTGGAGCATCACCCTGTACGTCAAAACGCTGTGGGTTCGATCCCCGGTCGGAGTGTGTTAAGGGAGGTGACTGGTCAGTGTTTCTCTCTCCCCTCCCTTAGCTCTCTCTAAAATCAGTGGGCATGCCCTCAGGTGAGGATTAAGAAAATAAATAAAATGGAATGCTAACTATGTTACATAAAAACTTAATAAAAAAACAAAACAGGTAAATGAGCACCTGCTTAAAAAATTACTATGAAGTGCATACATTTCTGGTCTGATTAAATAATTACTGGGTTGGCCAAAAAGTCTGTTTAGTTTTTTTCCATAAAATAAGACATATTTTTCACTTTGATCAGTAACTTTATTGATCCGGATATTTTGAGTGTGTCGGCTATCTCCTGTGTGATGTAACATTGATTGTTCTCAATTAATGTATCAATTTAATGGCTGTCAACTTCAACTGGTTTACCTGGCCATGGAGCATCATCCAGCAAGAAATCTCCAGCATGAAACTTTGCAAACCACTTCTGACATGTTTGATCAGTCACAGCACCTTCTGCATATACTGCACAAATCTTTTTTTGTGCTTCAGTTGCATTTTTACTCTTCTTGAAATAATAAAGGAAAATATGCCAAAAATGTTGCTTATTTTCTTCCATCTTAAATATTACAATGGCTACACAAAAATTAATCAACTTTAATGTCTTTTAAAAATGCACACCAATATGATAGCTGTCACAATACAGTATAACAAAATTGTTTCAATTGAAGTTAAAGACAGCTAAGCACTATTATAGCCATCTTAAGGAAAAAAATCCAAAAGAACTTTTTGGCCAACCCAGTAATTTATTCTTTGCATTATGAAGCCTCATTTATTTTTTAAAAAGATTTTATTTTTTTAAGCCCTGGCTGGTGTAGCTCAGTGGATTGAGCGAGGGCTGAGAACCAAAGTGTTGCAGGTTCGATTCCCAGCCAGGGTACATGCTTGGGTTGTAGGCCATGACTCCCAGCAACCAACTGCACATTGATGTTTCTCTCTCTCTCTCTTTCTCCCTCCCTTCCCTCTCTAAAAAATAAATAAAAGTCTTTAAAAAAATTTTTTTAAAAGATTTAATTTTTTTAGAGAAGGGAGGGGAGGGAGAAGGAGAGACAGAGAAACATCAGTCAGTTGCCTCTCCCACACCCGCAACTGGAGACCCAGCCTACAACCCAGGCATGTGCCCTGACAGAGAATTGAATAGATGACCTTTTGGTTCTCAGGCCAGTAATCAGTCTACAGAGCCACACCAGCCAGGGCTAACCCTCATTTACTAAGCATAGTTTTACCAAAGATAATCATGTTTGCTGAATCACTAAAGACTGCTTATTCACTTCTGCCTTGTAAGAAGCACATTAACTCAAACAGTGAATCAACCATTTATATGGGCATGGTTATCAATCCTTTTACCCTACAACTATTTCTGAGATCTTTTTTCTTTCTGACTACAAACTACCTGAAAATATAATGCTTAGGCTCTGTATGCAAATGGAAAACCTTGAGATTATATATAAGATTAAAGGCAAGAACATATGGCAGTAAGACTTAAAATTTAAGATTAAATTTAAATGCTCCTGAGCATTCCCTACTTACCTCTCCTTGCTTTATTTTTCATCACGAATCTTATCACTGTCTGATAGGTTACCTATTTTACACATTAAGTTTCTTTGTTTTTTCTTCCTACTTAGAAGCAGGAATTTTTGTTGTTTTGTTTATTACTAGGCTTCCAGTGAACTAGACCGTGTCTTACATTTAGGAGGGGATCCATAAATATTTGCCAAATAAATGAATGAGCAATCTAATGCTATAAAAAACTAAACACTATTACAATTAATAGCCTACCTGTATCACAGTGATCCAAACAGGGTCATTGTTTACAATTATAAGAAACAGTGAATGAACTGTTGATGATGGAAAATTCTCATCCACTTCTGAGAAACAGCACATTGTTTCTAGTATCTGACCTGGGAAGTCTGAACCCCAACAGTCAACATCTCTTATAATAAGTTCAGTGTTTATCAAAGTAGGAGCAGCTCCTCAGTGGAGGGGAAAACTTTGCCAATTAACCACACGCATCACTGTTTGTTTTCTTTCAAAGTCTAGTATTTATCATTATAAATCTCCACTCCACACAATCTCAAGTCACAAAAATTGAAAATTTTCATCACTGTTTTATTAAAAGCACTTTGGGAAATAAAGAGTTAAGTACCAAAAATTCTGCAACATGTAGTTCAGCAGATCATTTGAAAGATCAAAGCATCATACTCTTAGGCCATCTTTCAAAAATCTTCATATTAGTTATTTAGTTATTTAGTTTGGGCCACTTAGGTCAAAAGGTGTAACTCCACCTTTTTTCATTGCTGTCAAAGACTCTACGCTTGCCTTCTGAGCACTCTGGCGGCTCAGTGCCACTTCCATTCTGTGTGTCCAGTCTGTCTTTCAGTCTCCTGAGCCCACTACTTTGCCACGGCACGGCTTCTTTCCTCCTCCTTCTCTGACTCTCTTAAGACCACGGATGTAGAATGTTACTTTCAGATGAGAAGAGAGGAAGGTGATTCCAACTTGTCCGAAGTTCCTAAGTTGGTTAGTAGTTAAGGATGAACTAAATTCCAGAAATGCTGATTTCCCATTCAAAACAAAGCTCTTTCTAACTTACTGTCTTCCCCATTAATAACCTTTTTTGGCATCTTTTCTTGTAAAACCCCTTTATTACACACTTGTTAATAAAACACTTGTATTGGCCTAAAATCAAGGAGTCCCCTAAACCCAAATAACTGTTTTCATTTCTAATTATATTCAGATATTTTCTGAATGGAATCATCTTCCATAAAGAATAATAGAGTTTATTTTCAGGGGTTTTTTTTGTGGGTTTTTTTTTGCAATTTTCACACTAGGTACTTAAAAAGTATAAAGATGGTATTGTGAGTTGAATTGTGTCCCCCAAAAAGATATGTTATAGTTTTAACCCCAATACTGTGAATGTGAGCTTATTTAAAAATAGGGTCTTTGCAGATATGATCAAGTTATTCCAACATTACTGGTGTCCTTATAAGAAGAGGAAAATCTGGACACATACCACAGAGATGACAGTCATATGAACAGGAATACAGAGACTGGGGTTATGCTACTGCAAGCCAAGGAACGCCTGGGGCTATCAGAAGGGGAAAGAGGCAAGGAAGGGTCCTCCCCAAGAAGCTTCAAAGGGAGCATGACCTTGCCAATACTTTGATTTTTGATTTATAGCTTCCAGAATTGTGTAAATATTTTTTTAAGATTTTACTTATTTTAGAGAGAGAGGGGAAAGGAGGGAGAGAGAGGGAGAGAAACATCGATGTGAGAAACACTTATTAGTTGCCTCTCATGCGTGTCCCAACTGGGGAACCAACCTGCAACCCAGGCACGTGCCCTGACCGGGATTAGAACTGGAGACTTTGCCTTTGTGGGACAACACCCAACCAACTGAGCCACACACCTCGGTCAGGGCAATTTCTGTTTTTAAAGTCATCAAGTTTGCAGTATTTTCTTATGGTAGCCCTAGGAAACTAATACAGATGGTGAAATAAAACAGATAATGAAAGTACAACTTTTTAAATTCCATTAGGCAGTATCAGTATTATATTTAAACACAGTGATTGAACGTAAGGCTATTTCTAAGTGCACAGTACCTAAAAAAGAAAAATCTCTAATGTTTGAATTTTTTTTACATGATCAATTCAAAAGTCAAATAGAGAGTCAGTCCGTATCTCAAATGAATTATTTGGTCTTCGGAAAAAGTAATCAGACAGGTATGATGTTTAATGGCCAAGCACTACTCCATTAGAGCTGCAGAGCACTGCACCCCCATTCATTCCTCAACCAACTTCTCAAGTCAAGAATGTGCTTACTTGTTATTTGTTGGTCCTGTTGCCAGAACGTCAGACTGTAACTTCGGAAAGAACCCTTGCTCATATTTGCCTTGACCAATTTTCATATCAAGTAGATGTGGGTGGATTGCAGTGTGATCCATTTTCATCAGCCGCTGCTCAATTGACTGGGCTATAAATTAAATTTATAACAAATTAGAGACATTTCATTGGCAAAGCCTTGAAAAATAACGCTTCCTCTACTCATTCCACCAACAAGGAATTCAATCTTTGACACTCTGAATGGATTTTTTACTAAGGCTCTTCAGAGATCAGCATAATGTAAGTACAAAAAGGTTAATTTTAAGCAAATACCAGATAATTACTTTTCACAATATTTCTGCCTTTCTCAAAAGAAGGGCAGTGGGGTTGAAAAATCTATAATTTAGTATTAAAACAGTTTCCCATAAGTGGGAAATTCAATATTCTTAATGAAAATGTGTTTCTAAGAACAACAGAAAAGTATATGACGGCAAATACTTCCTGTGAGCTGAAAGACAGGTGAGGAGAAGGGAAAAGCAAGCACAGAAACCTTAAACGTATTAACTTTATTTCTTTGTACAAAGACCCCTTAAATATCTGTGGTTCTTTTTGCAAAAACAAAGAATTTGTAAAATAAGAAATTGTGTGAAGTTTATTACTTTTAGTGACAATCACATTCTGATTAGTAGGAGTTATTTAGGAGTGTTTATTAGATCAAGAGGGGTAATGCAGAGAAAAATAAAATAAGCAGGCATTTAGAAAATGTCTAGAGAATAAGAAACTGACCTTTTAAAGAATAAAATAGGACAAAGTTAAAAGACAGGAATTACTCAACATCCCTATTTTTAAGCCACTGAAATTTAGAGGATGTGGCAAAAACCCAAGAAATAGTGAATTATGTCTCTGGTAAAAAAAAATCTGATGTTGAATGTTACTATTAACTGAATTTTCAACAGGAAACTGAGAATACTTGAGACTGAAAACAGGAGAACAAGCAGTGACTGCAGTTGTGTGATACAGAACACACAGTGGGAACTGCTGAGCTCGTGAGTTAAGGGAAGTAAAAAGGCATTTTTATAAATATTTCATCAAATCAGTTTATTTTGCCTCTATGAACACCAGCAGATTGAGTACTGCTAGTTATTCTCCAAACATGGTTTAAAAATAATTTTTTTTGGGGGGGGAAGGGGCCTGTCTATGACACATCCTACTCTTGTCAAAAGAACATGCTCGATACCACCTCATGTGGGATCAGTGCTCCACCCAAACCAGCTGCCTGTGTCTGACGCTGACAGTGCTAGGGAAGCTTTGAGGAAGTCGTAATTACCCTTTGTGACTTAAATTTCTGAGTGCAAAACTGTTCTAATTTTTCTTCATAGGAATTGATCCAAAACTTTTTGAATTTCATTTTATTTTTAATGTGTAACTTGTTATCTTCTCTTGAAACATAATCCATTATGTTCTATGCTGGGGAAAAGGATGCCATGTTTTAATGTGAAATGAGATTTCATTTTCAACAATGCCCCATGGCTCTCCAAAGCCCTATCTACGCTCTCAATGCTTCCTAATATTTATAAAGCACAATTAACAGATGGTTTAGGCAAAATAATGCTTAGATTCATGGCATGGAATTTTCTGAAGTTCCTGCCAATTTTATGTTCCATGAAATACTACAAAATTCCATCTCTATCAATTAGTGCCTTTGTCCTCACAAAGGGAAAAGAGGAAAAGCAGCTTCAGTTTTTCCATTGGATTTAAAATGATAGAGAAATCCATCTGATACTGAGTTATTCTCCTTTAGTTAGGAAGCTTTGTGAAAACAAAAACATAATTCACAGTGACTTACTCTTGGGTTTACAGTTAAAACTGCCCTAGGGAACTTAATACAATGTTACTTTTCAGTGATATGCCACCAGTGAATGCCGAACATTCAGAGATTATTAAATGCCTGCTTTGAGAGGTCATGGGGCTGTTGTTACACTTTTAAGGGTTGGTGCCCATGTTCATTTCTGTGATTGGTGAGGGGAAAGAAAACTCCGCATTACTATCAACTTGTTGCCTTTCTGCACAGAAATCACGAGGTTCTGGTGCCGCAATGTCAACAGCAGATTGCCTCTGCCTAAGGAGGTCACCTGTAAATCGAAATTCTTTTCAGTTGGGGGGGGCCCAAAAGCAAAACAACCAAAGACAAAAACAATAACACAATAAAAACCCAACGTTCACAACAGAACCCCAACCTCTATAGCTATTGTTGGGGGGTAGGGACGATTTTACTGGATAGTAGAAATAACTACACCCTTTGAGGGATAGACAGTTACAGCCATCTGCCTCCTTTTACTTTTTAAAAAAGTCTGATAAGTTCCTGGGAGACTCCTTACCGCTTTAGCTGAATCTCGTATGTGTGAAAACTCTAATGGCACACTTTCTAAAGTATTACGTAAGTTCTATCGTGATAGTGGGAATATTGAATTCCTTGAGAGGCTGAAAGAAACTCTATTTTAATTGTAAGAATTTTCTGGAAGCACACACAGGAATCAGTGCTGAACTCCATTAAAAAATGTGTCAGGAAGGGAGGAATGACATTGGCCCAACAAGGCACTGCACTATTCACGTGGCTGTCAGGGCACTGAGCACCGTGCTGTACACACTGTGACAGGCAGAGACAGTTTCATCCATTCTCCTCTCTCACTCCCCCAGAGACACAGCAGTAACTGCCACTTCCTGAAAGGCTCCCAGGATCTACCCTCAGGACATACAACAGGACGATGTTCCAACCAGTGACCAGAGACCGCTAAGGCTACATAAATGACATTAGTTACATACTTCTTTCCTTAAATACACTACAACTACAGCAGCACAACACCTGTGACTTTGATCTATTTACATAAAGTGAGAAAGGCAAGTAACAGAGTCAGAGCCATTTGCTGCTTCCTTTTTCTCCAGAGGAAATACTGTTTTCAAATAGCCCCTACATTTGAACAGAAAGAAATCAGAGGGGAGGGCACTCAGGTGGTAAATATGTTTGTCTGGCAAAGAAAGAGTTGGGAACCAGGTATGAATGCATAAAATTGTGTGAACTGGTACATTCTACATGTTTACTGAATGCACAGCTAACACCGTAGTCAGGCTTTGGGGGCCAGAAACAGTCACACCGGGTTCACATCACGGCTCCACCATTCACTAGCTACCCAATCCTAAGAAAGCGGCTGGACTGCTCAGTTTTTCTCAACCGTAAAATGAGGACAGCTACAAAACAGAAGTAAATGTGCCTATACCCCACTTCATCATTAAGAGCAAATGCAAAAAGGCATGTAAAACATCTCGTACACTCATGCAGCACATAGTAAATACTCAGTTGAACACTGACTATTAACACGACTGTTTAGTTAATGGACTACTAGAGCGCACTGCCTGATGAGACTGGCCAAAACTCGTAATTATCGGAGGGAAACTGGTGTCCAGGTTGGGAAACCTCTAATTTGAATACAAGAATCCAGAGAAGTAATTCCAATAAATAAAGCTATTATAATTAATGGTACCACTAAACAAATAAATATACTGTCACAGTTATTTAAATTAGGCAGCATCTCAGATTTACTATTTAAATCAATACTTACCTTTCCCTGGATAAAGAGAAAAGAGGCCAGAAGTAAAAAGACAACATAAGCAGCAAGACAGAAATGAACCTTTTTATTCCCCATTAAGGTAATAAAGAGAATAAGACAAAAATCATAGCAACCTTGTAGTTACACTCGTTCAGTTTGTTATTGCTTTTCCTCTTCTAAGAGAACAGGAATGTCAAGTAGGAATGGGATGGGCATGAACTCACAGAAACAGAAGGACAAAAACCTAAAGAAAGCACTATTTCTGGCTATACAGTACCAGGATTAACCATAAAGTGACCATTTCGTGGTTCGTAAGGTCAGCAATGTGCACAAAATAACCATGGCATTTTAGTTCATTGAAAAACGCATGGCAAATGTACCTGCTTCTTTTAAAGTGCTGCACTTCTGATATATAGACGTCCTCAAGGTGGGCGCCCTTACATTGTACAGTCTGATCTTCTCAATCCGAGAGTCAAAGACTCGAAGCAAAGGCTCTTTCTCCTCCCACTGAGACATAATTTTATTATCGATAAAGGTGGCAAACATCTGTGTTTCAATGAAGCGTGAAAGAAAGGGCAGGTATGGCTCAGGCTGGTCAGACAGAAAGGAAGCCTGTAATGAGATTAATTAAAAAGTTGTTAGTGCAAGGAGACGCATCTCGACACTAAATGTTGTATCTGAAAATTATCTGTTGCTAAGGTCTTTCTTTTTTTTAATCTTATAACACACAAGACTGACACTGAAAATTCAAAAATCCTTAAAAATGCCCTTTTCCTTACTTTCTTTTAAATTCGTGGAATTTGGGTCACTTAGTTCTTCAGCACTGATCCTATCTTTTACAACTGATTTACAGTCTGATCCTCGTGACCACTACATAGAACAGAGAGCATCACTAATGAAAGTTGGTGGATCAGTTGCTACAGGATTGTCAGCCCTCTCCACTTAACCATTAAATCTGACCCCATTTCCCAGTGAGCTGTAATTTCTTCTGCTCTATTTTTGGCCTATGCGATATACCTCTAAGTCTTGAGGCAGTGAGGTGGTTAACTGATACAATACTGATACGGATACAATACTATATATATATATATCAACCTTAAAAACAACACGGAGTTTGTCTTTATGGGTAAAATCTTTTTACTCTTCAAGAAGATGTTTCTTCAGGCACCAACACTGAGATTGATGGGTGAGTGTTAATTCAAGATCAAACTCCTTCCAGACCTCTATGGACAGAGTAGTCTGGGCCCTAACCACTATAAAAAGCATTGCCTGAAAACTCACCGGAGGTAAACCGAGTCTTTGGAAAATGTGTACAACACCTTCGTATTACCAGTTGGTCTGCTGCAGACAATGATTTAGTATATTGTAATGTTTTTAATTCAAAATGTTCTTGTGTGTGTGTGTGTGGTTCTTCAGATCTATGTGTCTAGCAATTGTAGTTGCCATTTGGTACTGGCTGAAATTCAGAGGTGAATTACTATTTCAGCTACTGAGCTGGTTCGGCTTTTCCTTCTTTAGAGCAGATGCAGAAGACGAAAGGGAAAGATGGAAGGGTAACTTCCAACATAAGGTTCCTCTCCTTAATACTCAGCAGCTGCTTCCTAGCATGACTTCCACTCTGAAATTTAGGAAGCCTTTTAAAAACTTCCTTACAGAAACCCAGTTACTCAAGTTAAGTGCTTCCATAGTTCAGATGTGTTTACACAAATCCAAATAGCCAGGAAAAGGTTCACAGTAGTCTCTAGAAATCAGTTCACCTCTTTAAAGGGCATTTTACAGATACACATGAAGCTTACTTTTTATAGAGCAAAAATCTTTTTTTTCTAAATGGGCCAAATGCCTCGCTTTTGATATTCAGACCCTTGGGGACTACAAGTTTAAGGTCAGCAAAAACTTGGCTTGCAGGACTAATATGTGATAGACCTGTATATTTTCCTGGTGAAAAATTAGATTACAAGCCTTTTGGAATGCGACATGAAACTTTCATTTCTCAAGGGATTATATAGAAAGATTTCCATTTACAGTCTGAAGCTACATAAAGATTAAAGAGGAAGAGAGTGCCAGTGCTCAATTTAGATAAGAATTTCAATTGCCCCCAGGACAAATCATGAGTGTACACAGTAGTTCCAAGCTGAATAGGAAAATAATGTGGAAAAATGGTCAAGCTTAATGAGAAAGGAACCTAAGAGCATGAGTACATTTGGAGAACTGAAGGTTTCTGAATGTATTAAAGAAGTTTTCTCAAACATAATGTGCACCAGAATTTAACCGTTCAACATAGTTTATATCCTCAACCTGAAAAAAATATGATGAAATCAGAAAATAATCTTTCATACTTCCCACCTGGACAGAATTTTGTAATTAACATTTATTGTCGGGTGCTCCAAGACTGCAGATTAGGCCCCTATAATGGATTAGCCCCTTTAAGGGGTCTTTAACAACACAAAGATACCATTTAGTGAGAAGTCATAATTCATTCTGATAGCAATAGTCATGCCTCAGTCATCAGAGGCAGGGAACTGAATTATACCCTCGTGACTTGAAAGAGTTAACGCCCAATCCCCTAAGTGCTTTTGTCTAGAGGGGAAATCTGTGATGGACATGCCAAGAAAAACTGGTAGAAGAATACTTTATAGTACCCCTTAGGAGCTTCAGCGTCAACAGGACAATCAAAAGCTGGTGCTATTTTCTGTCTTCCTTTCCCCCAAACTGGAACAGAACCTTAGGCTTATAGTCATAAAACCTAATTCATTCATCTCTCTTTTGACCCTAGAATGAGATAAAAATCTGGTTTCTAAAACTAAACTGTTTGTTACCTTTACATGAACAAATTGTGATTTTATTGTATTGAAGACAAATATAAAAATAGGATTAAAAAGAAATAGACCTTATTTAACTAGACTTGATCCTAAAATAAGAGTAAATGAAACTTTTACAAGGTCAGATGGTGTTAACAGATTTGAAAAACCTGTGAAATTTGAGTTTCTCTAATTTTCAAAGTATAGATACTTAAAAATGAGATGATAGGCAATTTAATACACAATTCAATGGCTGGCTTACGAGCTTGCTGGTTTGCTTTCCTGTGAGGTTGTTCTGTCTCGTGTAAAATACGGGTAAAGGTCTTAATGGAAGGGAAAGAGGGGAATCTATGTTTTAAAAAGGTTAACAAAATCAAGTGATATGGCCCACTATGAGCCACAAAAAGGGAAACTACGGTTCTTTTTACTTTGTCAAAGTTCTGCATCTGCTCTCGGTTGGTGAGCCAGGACTCCAAGTCCTGGGCGCTCTGAATCACGAACGCTTCATAGTCTGCAAACATCTGCGTGAAGCGGTTAGCAAACACCTCTCGGAGCTGCACGTTGAGCTGGTAGTCCCTCAGTTCTGCCTCTTCACACTGCAGTTTCAAATCCTTTTCTTTTTCACCCAGAGAGGCAGAGAGGTCCATTTTCTCCACAGTCACACCGGTCCTCTTGGCCAGAGCCTGGAGGCGGGCTATGGTCTCATTGCCCTTCAGTAACTCATACATGCTGATGTTATTAGCGGAGACATTGCCATTCTTCTTGTCATTGACCAGGTCTTTCAGGACCAGATTCTTCAGTTTGGTGGCACTCTCACTGCAATGCAGGCTGCCCTCAGGAGGGATCCCAAACTGAAGGAGAACTTCAGAAAGTTCCTGGATAAAATCCACTTTATTGGGGAACTGTGGAAATTCCTCAGGCAACTCGATACAATGGTTGTCAATATCCACAAAACACAAATTAGCCTGAAAGAGAAAAAAGAAATACAAAGGTTTTAAAATAAAGGAATTTTAAGTTCTAAAATGTTTTTGCCACCTATCATAAACAAAATCACAAATTACACAGCATTTCATGTTAATCTTCTCAAGGTTAAGAATTTTTTATTCTTTAGAAATAAACCTCTGTTGCCACCAGTATTCCCCACATAAGTATTTTACACCATATTTAATGTAAGCGAATAATTTTCTCTGGGTTTCGTTAACTTATAATAATTGAGACATGCTTCTGTTATATCATACATCAATTATGGCAGCCATTAGGCATTCCTAAATGAGTAAAGGTGCACAGGCTGGTCGTACCTTACAAATAAAGGCACTGGGTGAACTTGAACTTTCCATTCCACTGCTCTAACACCATTTGCAATTTAGAAAGAACTGCTAAAATTTAGCAGCTACAGTAATCCCCCAGAAATGGGATGAAACTGGCAAAGAACAATCCGATTCACAGAAAATCCACACATTTTCACTTCATCCAAAATCTGCTTCAACCTCTTGGACAACACAACCACTGCAGATGTCGTTAGACACAGAGCAGCGGGCAGAGGGAGGTGGGAGAGGTGGTGCTTAGAGAGCCATAAATGCCTAACCCTAGGATAATTAGGAGGTGACTCAGGCGAGATTTCTGAGTAGAGGGAAAGAGGAGACAGAAATGAGAGGACATGGTTTTTTGACTTTGCTTATATTGTAGATTTTGAATAAAAAAGATTTTAAAGTATTTTTGAAGTAGACAGGGAAAATTCAAGGGGCCAAGCACCTGCATGAAATTCTGATTATCTCTCAGGTACCTGATTATAGTAGACTCCAAAACAGTATTTCACTTTTACTGTTCAGACCCTCTCAATCTGAACAAGGTTGTCAGGATAAAGGAAGGCTGCTCCCAGACTGGAGGGTGGGGTGTACAAAGGCGAAACCTTCACAGGAAAACTGGCCCTGGCTGCGCTGCTTTAGGGACTGAACACACAGCACGGCGTGGAAGTCAACAAACAGAACAGGAAGCTTCCCCTTGTGTTTCCCCATCTCGCCCCCCACTCCGGGGCCCACACCCCACCCCACCTTCCAGGTGAGCAAGTGGAGAATTCACAATGTTCTCTGATCCTGAAAGCCAAGGAAAGGTGAAAAGAAGAAAGCAAACAGCTGGATCTCCGTTTTTCTTTTCATGTTAGATAGTGATGAACACGAGGTATATCAAAGTTCCAAACTAACTTCAATAAAAACTCAGGCATTCCACCACCCAGAAACAGAGAACGACAATGGTTTCTTCAAGGTTGGTATAACCTTTGACTCCAACCCATTACTTCTGCAGATGAAGCAAGTGAAGCCCAAGAAGGTAGGTGACACCCTGCCACTTGTCTCAGATATGCATCCTCAAAGAGCATGGTGGCTCAAGGGATTTTTCCCCTGCAGTTTTCCTCTTCTCCAATGTCAATAGTTTTCTTTAAATAAAAAGCTGAAGTCACAATTTGTTGAAGACATAGTGCTGCCTACAGCTTTCTTTAAATCCACATCTTTATATATGTTTCTACAGTCTCTTTTAGAAAGCAGCACATATTTAAAAGCTTAAGGGGGCAAAAGTAGGTCACCATAATTCAAATGGATGTTCAATATCTTTAAAAATGAAAGAAAAAAAATCCACTAAGTCGCTAATCTAAATGGTAATTGGCAACTTCCCACCACTAACATTTTGTACAGTCTCCTTCATTAACGTCTTCCCGCCATCCTTTTCTATACTTTGCTTTCTCCTATGGAATAAAACGATGCATCGGGAAATGTTAAAGCTCGTTATGCTATGTAATCACTGCTGAGCTGAAAGTGCGTGGCGAGGTGGGTTCCAGCACCAGCTCACACCCCCTATGTCTGCCCAGAAGAGCCCAATTTGGGGCTTTGATTATCACAAAGGTGAAACAGGAAATATGAACTTGTGGTATAAAAATTTATGGAAGAAAAACCAAAAAGTTGTTTTCTAAAACAAGAACTCCATGCAACAGAGTATTCTGATAAGTCACTTTCTCACTTAACACTTAAATTTTAAATCTATGAGAAGAGCTCAAGAAGTATGAAAAAATACTTGACATCTCAATCAAAGGTTGTTTTAAAACTAAATATTTCTGTACTGTTACTGATCGACAATGCCTAGAAACTTTCATGACATGTAATTACTTCCAATGAAAAGAACAAACATTCCCTCAAGGGGAACAAACTTGAAACTTAATCATCTCTTCTGCCAAGAGGCCTTCCCATGCCCCTATCCCAGAGGCACTCTGATTTCCTTTGTATATATTGTTAGTTCATTCACTAGTTACTAACATTAACTTTTAGCCTGTGTTATTGATAACTGGTAAATTATTTATTCTGAAAAGCAGAAATCACCACTCAAGATCAATCACCAATTGATCTTGATGTCTCCCAATGTATCCTACACACATAGTGTATGAGGCAACTATTTGCTGAAAGAATGGACAAGGCTCAAAGAGACGTTTCCATCGTGAGGAAACGCAGAAGTGCAGGAAGGAGTGGAAGTAGACAGGACTGTGAGGCCAGGGCAGCTCTTCCCCTGCTGGGTGAGGGATCTGGCTTCTCCATGGCAGACGTGAAGTGGGCATAAGTGTAAGCCAGAAGAGAACATTTAAAACATTCCCACAGAATTTCAGGGCGAGATATGGCAAAACCAATTCCTCATTTTTCTCTGGATTTTTTTTGTCCACCATTTACTCTAAAGATGAGCAAGAATGGTCAAAAGTGAGGTGTCACAGTATGCAATTACTCCTCAGGGCTGTGTCTTTCCACATCACTGACTCCACCCCCTGAGAAAACAGCACAACAAATGGCTCCCTGTGTCAATCCTTTGGGAATCATGGGGAAAGTGAGTGGGCAGTTAATTATGAGTCTACGTAGTTACATTAGTCAGCTAACAACTAAAATCATACCTTCTTAAAATAATCATTTCATAAACATCATTTTCACAACTATTCTAAGAAGCCCTGTAACTACCTTAGCTATTATTTTATTTTACAGTTTTCAGACAAAGGGGTGGTGGTAGTGGTGGCGGTGGTGGGGTTACTAGTTGAGTGTATTTAAGTCACTTTTTAAAATGGCTATTTTAATACCTATTTCCTCCAAATTATATGAAGTCGATTACTTCATGTCATTACAAAATGATACCAGAGCAAAGTGATACACTCTTCTTCCAAAAGTCATATACCAATTTATACTTCCTATGCAGAAGCGCTGTTGTTTTCACAGCTGATCAAGTAACTTTCTATTACTCTACTTCATGAATAGGAAGATGGGTAGGTGTATTTATTAAGTAGTATTGACTTCATGAATAAAAATTAGAGAATCACAGACATTACTGTAAGAACTTATGGAATTGTAAAGTTTGTTTTCTTTAGAGTCAGAGGACGCACACAGGCATAGAAACAGAAAAATTTCTTGACTCCAGAAAGATGGTATTTTTAAAACCTTCAACTCTTACTACTCATGCAAAATTGAAAGATATTTGTATATCTAAATAAATAATCTTGTAACATATCATCTGATTAACATACAAATAGACCAGGTACTAAAAAAACTAAAACATGTCACCATTTAAGTCTTTAAAACAAAACGCATTTGGCTACTTTATTTCTTTTTCCTTGAAAATTTAAAGGACCCATGTCTTTGCACTAACAAGAAAACTTCCAAGAGAAAACAGAAAGTGTTCAGGTAACAGAAAAAAAGAGATGTAACAGGGAGGCAAAAGCAGAGAACATGCACAAGCTCAAAAAAGACCAAGAGAGTCTGTATGTGTATTTTATATGATCTGAATCAAGCTATTTTCCCCGGAACAAAAATGTTACTTTTGGCAGGAAAATGTTCATTAGAAATTGTTACAGGAATCATTACTGGGTATAATAGCTGCAGCTTAGTGTGTTATTTTAAATTCACTTATTAAAATTAGACTATGGGGGGAAGTGAAGCACAACATAAAGATTTTATTAAGAAATGTGTTAATTAAACAGCTAATAATATAATGTAATTAACCATTTTATGTTTTTAATAGGCCATGGCAGTCTCAGCAATATTTCATTTGAAAGGCTTAACACTATAATTCTGAGTACCATGAACAACAGCTAGAAACCAGATTCAAAATGCTTTCAAGGATTCCTGTTTATTTTCTTCTTAAACAAGACTTGAAAATACAATACACAGATGGTATAGTAAACTGAAGATGACCTAAAAGTTAGGGGTTAGAATTTTTATCTCTACCTTCTAGACAAGTTGATATTTAGAAAAAGTTGATAACTAGCCTTATGTCTGAAAACAAAGAATATTAAATATCCCCAGCTTGCTGAAAGATGTCACTTTTCATTTGATGGAGGTCAAAAATCAAATTCACCTCAATTAATTAAAGGATCTATGTCTCTGAACCAACAAGATAACTTAGATTAATTTAATAAAAGAGAAAACAAAGAGTGTTCGGATAACAGCAAAAAGAGATATAACAGGGAGGTAAAATCATAATACAATCCTTTTAAAGGATGTTAAAATTGGTCTGCCTCATTTAAGAAACAAAATTTATAATGTGAATGGGGAAAAAGAAATAAAATGTTATTAGAATAATAAAGCAACTAGGTAAGACCAATATTATCTCATCTTCAAGAATTCATGTTCTATTAGTGGCTGTCACAGTCGCCACCAGGAGTCAGGGCCTGCATTCTAAGGCTCAGCGCTGCCCTGGACCTCCTTGGAGATTCAGAACAGAGAGACCCAGTGTGGACAAAGACAGTTCTATCTAAGGAACATACCCTTGACCTAAATCAACACACAGCAAATGTTTCATCATCATTACAACTTTTACCTCTTGAGGAAGTTCTAGTTTAGAACGGTCAGTTCCTTCTTTTGACTGAAGGCCCATCAGATAAGGGACAGGAGCATCAAGAAAATGTAGCAGAGAAGCAGGGAGGATGGGCACATAAACATGCTGCCACTGAAATGGGAACAAGAGGGTGGTGATGCCTTCCGCCACAGTCATCAGGCGTTGGTAATCTGCACAGAACAGGGAAAAACGGAGGGGGAGATTCCAAGTAAAAACATAATCACTGCATTGAGCTTGAAAATACCAATTTCCAAAAAATTCTTGTTCTAATCAATCAAATCTTTATGACCATACAGAAAACGGGCCATTTTTATCCCACCGTAATGAAAGAGTTCAATGGCTTCATTTGAATGCTTTTAAGAGGGTGTGGGCAGGTGGGAAACATCATCATACTCTGCTTCTGAAATCAAGGGTATGTGAATTTACATTCCCTTCGAATGTGGAGGAAACGAGAAGTAATCAAATTGCTCTCCACACTTCTCCCATTAAAAATGTACCAGAATATTTGGTGTACAATCTATACAATTCCCAAATTCAGGGGCTTTTTTTCCCCCTGTATATATGATTATCCTGATTACATCTGTGTTAGCCTTCATTTTACGGGTGTAAGAAACCAGCAGATACATGCTTTCAGAGTCCCATTTTCTTTCTATATTAACCCCCAACTACAGAACTATCAAACCTGGGGACAAGGTGAAAGTTACCAGACAAAGGTTGGGTTTTTTTTTATTGTTTTATTTACATGAACTGATTTATCAAAACTAGAAACTGTCTACAATATTAAAGTACCCTTCCCCTCAGTTTTGAGATACAGTTGATAATGTAACACTGTATTAGTTTTATGTGTACATGACGATTAGATTTATGTGTGCATGTATACATTGCAAAATGATTACCCCAATAGGTTTAGTTAATATCTATCACCTCACCTAATTACAAATGAACTATCCTCTTAAACCTCTCCACCACAGATGCCTTATACAAACATATGTCTGTAATTCCTTAGAGGGAGACGTGTTACAGAATTCAGACCGTTTCTGGTTTTAATTTAGAAAGGTCATATTGTGCATATAGCATGCACATGAATCTAGGGCAGCACCGTGCAATCTAACACATTAATATTTCTGCAGCAAACCATGAGTGTCCCAAGTAGGGCAGGTAACCGAAGAATAAATAGGTTTACTTTGGTTCAGGTGTGGTTTTGCCAATACATGAGTTACAAAAAAGAATGTTTGGTTTTCAGGCTTTTTTTTTTTTTTTGTATTTGAGAATTGAAGAGACAGGATATTGTAGTTGTAGTAGTCTCTCATGGAATTTATTGTGTACAAAAACAGTAAATCTGGGGGAGTAACACTTTGGAGAGTCTTCTTAAAAAGGTTAAGCGTTCATTTGAATGCTTTTAAGAGGGTGTGGATAGGTGGGAAACATCATTATACTCTGCTTCTGAAATCACTGGTATGTGAATTTACATTCCCTTTAAATGTGCAGGAAGCAAGAAGTAATACAATTGCTCTTCATACTTCTCCCGTTAAAAATGTGCTGCAATTTTGCTACTGATCACTTCCTTATTTGACTCATTATTAAGACAAATCTTAAATGAAAATCTGTTTATAGGAATACTTCTAAAAATCAAGTATCAGATGGCCTGAGGTGTGGGTCAGTCACGTGAACTCATGAAGCTGACCCGCTTGCCTGAAGTGGTGATGCGGGAACACAGGAGGCAGAAAGACACACAGACAGACAGACACAGAAAGATGGACACGCTACCCTGTGAAGCTGGGGTGTTAGAAGGGTGGTCAAAGGAAATCAGACAATTAGCTACCTATCACCCTCCTAGTAATTAGGCTGATGTCTGAGCTTAGGAGACAAGGGCTTTACATCACAGGTGTGGGGTTAAGGTTGGGGGGCTGGCGTGAAACCTCTGAAAGCTGTTTAATGTTCTAGGTTTAGAAACTGTGGTAGTCAGAACTAACTGCAGGTCCCTTTTGGCACTCATCCCACGGGCTCTCTCCTCCACTGTGGGCTCCCTATGGGCAGAACAGTATCTTCTAAAAACTTTTTAAAAATTACTTTTCTGCCCTGGCTGGTGTGGCTCAGTAGACGAGCGCTGGACTACAAAGCAGAGGGTTGCTGGTTCAATTTACAGTCAAGGCACATGCCTGGGTTGCAGGCCAGGTTCCCCAGTGTGGGGAGCACAAGAGACAACCACACATTGATGTTTCTCTCCTTCTCTTTCTCCCTCCCTTCCCCTCTGTCTAAAAATAAATAAACAAAATCTTTTTTAAAAAGTTCCTTTCCCGTTCCAGTTGACATTCAAAATTCTATTAGTTTCAGGTGTACAGCAAAGTGGTTAGACACATCTACAACATAAGAAGTGATCCCCTCAATAAGCCTAGTACCCACCTGACATCACACACCGTTATTACAATAGTATTTACTACATTTCCTGTGCTGTACTTTACATCTCGTGACTATTTTGTAGCTGTCAATTTGTACCTCTTAATCCCTTTCCCTTTCCACCCAGCCTCCCCAACCCCCTTCCCAGTCTGACTTCTGTATCTATGGGTTTGTTTTGTCTGTTCGTTTCTGTTTTTTACATTCCACAGGTAAGTGAAATCATATGCTAATTGTCTTATTCTGTCTGACTTATTTCCTTAGCATAATACCCTCTAGGTCCATCATGATGTCACAAATTGTTAAGACTTCATTATTTTTTATGGCTGAAAAACATTCTATTACACACACACACACACACACACACCATTTCTTCTTTACCAATTGTCTAATGATGGACACTTGGGCTGCTTCCATATCTTGGCTATTGTAAATAAAACTGCAATAAACATAGGGATGCATATAAATTTTCAAATTTCTTCAGATAAATATCCAGAAGTGAGACTGCTGGATATGGTAGTTTTGTAAATTTTTTGAGGAATCTCCACATTGTTTTCCACAGTGGCTGCACCAATCAGTGTACGTTCCCACCAGCAGCGCAGGAGGGCTCCCTCTCTCCACATGCTTGCCCACACTGTTTGCTGACTTTTTGTTATGGCCACTCTGACAAGTGTGAGGTGGTAGCTCACTGCAGTGTTGATTTGCATTTTGCAGAGTGGACTTTTTAAATCTTGTTTTGCCCACAAAGCACAGAGCCTAGTTCACAGCTACAGCTGATGAAAATTTACTGACATTTCTGAATGTAACATTTTTCTCCCCTCCCCCAAAAAGAGAGACCTAACAAAACACACACACACACACACACACACACACACACACACACACACACACGAGTAGAAAGGTATACAGATAAGTAACTATAAAAAGGCCAAATCTGGGGAAATGTCCTTAGGATTCTCTCTGTGTATGTCCACTTTAGGCAAGGACAGGAGTCCTTGTAACCATAGCACTCAGTGTACTATTATCTGGCATATAACAGATGCTCAAAAATATTTTTGAATAAATAGGCTTATTTATTCACTTAAGACTGTGTATTTTTGATAATACACAACTCAAATACACTTGATTAGATTTTGTCCACATGAGATTAAAGAAGCACTAATTTCTCAGTAGGAGAAAACGGTAGCTCCTCAGACAAGAGGCTATACACTCAAAATTCACCTTTCCTGAATATTCATATATTCAGTTAATTATGTGCAGGCCCAGGCACAATATAAAGGAAATTCAAACATTCATTTACTAAGCTGCAGATACTGTGTATTATACAGAGAACTGTTACTAAGTGATTCATTCTAACTATGTATAAGGAGATTTTATAGGGATCAGGACTATTGTTTAGAAACAATGAACACATTTTAACATTTTTCTTCCTGCATATTAAAACTGTAAAGATTTTAAAGGTGAAACACAATGCAGGCTTCCTAAGGCCTCTGAAGAGAGTGGGAAAGGCTCTCAGGAAGCTTCCACAGCTTTTTGGAAGTGACGAGAGGATGAAAACGCAACTGTCTCCCCATCAGGGAGACGCAGTTCACGTGTCCCTCCTGAAGTGTGAGAACAGACTCACTGGAGAGTGAGAGAAAGGAAAACGTAACTGTATTCACTCCATGTAAGTATTTTATGAGTTGACTGCATTCAGCAAGTACAGTATGTCCTTATATAGATGGACTACCATAAAAATAACTTGACCATTCTTATCTATACTTGCTAACTTTTAAAAATTATTAGTAGTATTACTCTGGGCTTCTACGGAGTTTTGTTGTCATAAACATAGTTATAGAAATAAACTATTATCAGTTTTTTGGGAGGTACTGTTAATTAAAAATTAGTATTCTATGACAATCACTTCCTTAATAAAAGGTTAGTGTGTGTGACTCAGCTAGCTTCTTAAAAAACAAACAAACCTAAAATCGAGGTTTTGTAAAAGAATTGTATTTTTTACAATAATAAATGGGAGGAACAAACTACTTAACAATCCTTAAGTAATTTAAAGTAGAGGAACAGTCATATTCTACCTTACCTATCTCAAACTTCTAAATACCTTTTTTTTTTTTTTTTAAGGAAAAGGAGTGAGAATATTCATTTAGTTAAGATATACTTAGTTTTCTGGTCAAGATGGCAGCACAGGTAAATACGGTACTTGCATTTTCTCACAGTCACATCGAAATTACAACTAAGCTACAGAATAACCATCATTCAGAACTGCCTGAAATCTGGCTGAACGGAAGTCCTCCAACTAGGGATTTAAAGAAGTCACACTGAGACTGATAGAAGGGGTGGAGATGCAGAATGGGATGGTCCCAAACCCATGTGTGGAGGATAAAAATCGGCAGGGATATCTCAGCTGCAGAAAGTCCCCTCTGGTGACTGAGGGTTCCAAGCCCCACATTACACCTTCCAGCCCAAGATTCCAGTGCCACCAAGTCCCTATAACTAACTTCTGGTTGTAAAAACTAGCAGGGATTGTAGCTGAGCAAGGAGGGCTCATGGAATCCCAGGCAGTTCCTCATAAAAGGCCTATCCACGGACTTACAGACTCATTCTTTCTGAGCTCCAGTGCTGGGGCAGCAGCTTGAAAAGCACCAGGGACATTTGGGGAGTAAGTGAATTGTTTGACCCCAGGGCAAGAGCTGTAGGGGCAGCTTTCTCCCAGAAAGAACTGCTGGCAGAGGCCAGTGTTCCTTTGCCGAGCCCTTGCCCCACAGAGCCAGCAGGAGGG